GGGGGCCCCTGGGGGGCCCCTGGGGAAAACGCTAGCCGGGGGGCCCCAGGTCACTGAGGTGAGCCGCTGGGGGCCCCCCAAGCGCTTTCATAGAGTTTTTGCGCATAATTGCAAGAGCAGCAGCAGCAGGGGCAGCAGCAAAAACAGCAGCAGCTGCTGCTGCGCAAGCTGCAACAGCAGCGGCGACAGCAGCAGCAGCAGCACCAGAAAGGGAACCAGTCGTGCCCGCTCTTGTGCGTCTCCCTGCGGTCAAGGCTGCAAGCAGGGCTAGGTCACTGAATTGCTATTGCTGCTGCTGCTGCTGCTATTGCTGCTGCTGCAGGCGACCGCTGCTGCTTCTTGCTGCTTCTTTTTCCCACTTTGCCTCTTAATGCTGCAGCAACAGCAAAGCTTCTTCGACCAGCCTGTGCTGGGCCTTGTTGACATTTTTATTAATTAAGAAGGTCTTGCTTCTTTTCCATTTTGCTGCTGCTGCGACTCCCAAGCCACAGTTAGCTAGCTACAGCTAGCTAGCTGTGGCTAGCTGGCCGTAGCTAGCTCGCTGTGGCTAGCTACCAGTGGCTAGCTATCGATAGCTAGCTAGCTGTAGCTAGCTAGCTGTGGCTTGCTAGCTCTGGCTAGCTAGATGAACAGGCCGTCGGGCTTGATCACTTTTAGCTGCCGCAGCCGCTAGCAGCTGCAAGCTACATTTAGGGCAGCAGCAGCAGCAGCAGCCAAGGGAGTCTCAGCAGCAGCGACAGCAGCAGCAGCAGAAGCACACTGGGCAGTAGAGAATGCAGCAGCAAGAAGCAAGCCCGGCATTCCAGCTGGCGCCTCATGCTTGCCTGTTGTCTTCCTAGCCAGAAAAATAACAAAAATAAATAATTTATTTAAAATAAATATCTTTTATTATTACTCTAAAATAATATTAATAAATATATTTTATTATTCAAGTTTGCAGTTCAGCCTTTTGCCTATGCAGCCTCAAGGCCCAGCCACAGGCTGTCTAGACACGGGAGCACAGAGCATGAGCAAAGCCCACGAGGCGCTGCAGCTGCAGCAGCTGCACCAGACACAGCAGCAGCAGGGCCCCCCAAAAGCGCAGCAGCTACAGCTGCTGCAGCTGCTGCAGCTGCTGAGCTTTTGGGGGGCCCACATACTTTGCTGCTGCGCTTTGGTGTTGCTCTCGCGGGCATATTAGAAGTGCTGCAGCACTTACTTAGTAGCTTTGCTGCACTTGTGCTTCTTTACAGCTATTTGAAACCTCCTAAAGGACTAGTAGTATTAAATTTAAAATAAATAAAAAAAGCAAAATGAGAAGCAGCAGGACATAAGCTGCTGCTTGCGAATGAACGCTGCAGTGACCTCGACCCCAGAAAGAGCCTTACTTGACGCCTCTGCTTCTGCTGCTGCTGCTGCCGCTGCACCTGCTGCCGTTGCCTCTGCTGCTGCTATTATTTTTTCCTGCTGCACTGGCCCCGACGGAGCACCAGCAGCTGTATTCCATACCTGAATAGGCATTGACTGGACTCAAGAATGACCTGCAGCAGCTCAGACACAGCCCTTACTCAGGTCTGCTAAAAGTGGCTCTGATGAGGCAGCAACAGCAGCTGCTGCTGCTGCTGCTGCGCAGCAGCAGCTGCTTACCTTTGCGCCTCAAGCCCAATCTAGCCAAGCAGCAATTTGCAAATCACAGACAAGGGCGCATGCATGCAGGCTAGCTAGCCGGTGCCAGGCTCTGAGCAACGGCACAGAGCTCATCCGCCGCAGAAAGCGCCAGCATCAGCAGCAGCATCCAGCAGCAGCAGCAACATCCAGCAGCGGCAGCAGCATCCAGCAGAAGCAGCAGCATCCAGCAGCAGCAGCAACACTTAGCGGCAGCAGCAACATCCAGCAGCAGCAGCAACAGCAGCAGCAGTAGTAGCCAGCAGCTGCAGGCGCATGGCCCCCTAGGTGGCTGCGGAGATGGCCATTAGTTGAAAAAGAAATCAAAATGCGAGTTTTGAGTTGTTCTTTTTGTGGCGAGTTGCTTTTCTTATCAGACACAAGAGCCGCCTGCCGCAGCAGCCCGTTTGGCCTCTTCCTGGGGCTTTTGCTGCAGCAGCAAGAATGAAAAAATGCTTTCTGCTGCACCGCTTTTGCTTCAAGGCCTCCCCGCAGCTTCACCGGGCTCAGCCTCAAACACTCTGCTGCTGCTCCTGCATGCAGGAGCTAGCTTGCTGCTGCTCAGCGCCTGATAAGCCCCTTAAAAGGCAGCACTTAAGGACTTTTGAGGCTCTTTTTGCTGCAAAAGGACTTCTTGGTGTTCTTAAAAGATCTTCTAAAAAAGTCCCCTGTGCCTTTTCAGTGCAAAGCGCCGCAGGATGGATAGAACTGCGGGAGTGTGTGCTGAGTTGCCTAGAGCAAGTTATTTGGTGGTTTTGAATTTGTTTTTTCATTTGTTATTAAACAATAAAACTAACAAAAGGCCTGCATGGATTCTTCCCCCGGAAATGCCCCTTTAAAATGGCTTCAGTCGCTGCATTTGCTTCATATAATGCATTCATCCAAATTGCATACGCTCGGAAATTTGCAAAATAAAGAAATAATTCAAGAGAGCTCGAGCTCTGATTGCTGGCAGCAACGAGAAGATAAATACCTTTTCTTTGAAATACTTTTAAATGGATTTTTGCATGCAAAATGAAAGAATGCATTCAGAATGCAAATGCTTGTGGGTATGCTGGACTACACATTTTTGGGAACTTTTATGCACATGTGACTCTAAGGGTCATTTGCTCTTGCGTTTCACTTTACGTTTTCCCACGGCCATATATAATATATATATTAATATTTCTATATATATTTGTACTGACATTGTGTTTTGTAGTTATATATTTCGCAGAACTCCAGAGTGACGTCGAGCAATATAGTGAGTGTGCTCATTATATTGCACGAGAGAAGCCTGTGCTTGGAAGCGCCGAAAGCTCAGAATCTGGCTTTAAAATATGAGGTTCTCACTGCTGTCTTTACTTTTAAAAGAAGCAAAAAGTAAGGGGAAAAGAGAAGCCTCTTGCTCCCTGCTGATTAGGCCATCGGAGGCACGCAGTGGCTCCTCCAGGACTTGCGATAAAATTTTTTAGAACTTGTTCTTAGTGTTCTTTTTCATGTCATGCTTGCGCAGTACTTGTCTTCAGGTGTTTGGCTGAACGCACAAAGTTCCCGTTTGGCTATTCGCGGGGATTTACAAGTTGGCGTTTGCAGTAGAGAATTCAACATCCGACGAAAGGCTTTACAGGTGTACTTAAAGTTGCTGTCCACAAAATAAACGTACTTTTTACTTGAAGTTTCTGTCTACAAAATAAATAAACTTCTGATAAAATGCACAAATTGAACCAGAGATGCGCATATTTGTTTTTGCAGTTCGTCACGTCTTAGAGCCATCCCGAAGAAATGATTCTTGTGTCTTCCCTCGTGCGAGAGACATGCATGGGTTTGCTTCATTACACTTAAATTGATTTATTTAAAATTAAAAATAGACAGAAAGGAACAAGTGGCCTCTCCCATGCCCTGTTTTCTTCGGTCCCGCCACTGCGGGTAACCCCCTCACAGCCCTTCCCGCAACCCGGACTGGGTGAGCGTCATCTTGGGCCTTTAAGTTCTTTAATTCGTATTGTTTTTCTTAAATTATTCTAATTACAGCACCAAAAGGAAAAAGGAGGCGAGTTTGCCGCATTTTCATTGTTTGCTGCGAGCACTTTCCAAGTGGTCTGCACCTCGGTCTGGTTCTGCCTGTGGGGGCCGTGGCTGCCGCCGCTGTTCTAGCTTTTGTAGTTCGTTTAATCTCTTTGTCAGTCATTTTATTTGCGTTTCGATTTAAATATGCAATTTTGACTCTTTTAAAATTTGAATTTGCACGCTTTCCCGCCGTCAATTTTGCTGTATCTCGTTGCCCAGGAAGGTCACCCGCTGGTCCGGTCCGCGCTGACCGGCCCTAGACCAGTCGGCAGGCTTTTGTAGTAATATGCCGTTTATTTCTTTTTTCAGCAGTTTAAAGACTGGGAATCAATGAACCTTGGCCTCAAAATTGGCCACCTTAGCGCGAGACTGGCGCCAATCCTCCCACTTGCACCCCAAAGCGCCACGTGCAGAAACTGCTGCGGGTTGCCCTCCCCGATCCACCGAAAACCCCGTTAAATTGCTGGAGCCTTTTTCTACTGCTTTCTTTAAGGACATTCTGGTCTCCCCGAGGCGCCTCAGCTGGGAAATGTGCGATCGTTTGCGCTCCGCCCCGCAGGGCTTGGCTGGGGCATGCTTGCCTGCTGCAGTGCTCGACTCGAGGGGCCTCGCGGGCAGCTCAAGCAGCGCTGCATCAGCTGCTGCTGCTTCTCATTCTGCAAATGATTTATCTGGGAAAGACCCGCGCAGCCCAACGAGGCAAACCAGCCGCTTCTTAGACCCCCCAACTGCAGCAGCTGCAGCAGCCGCCTTTACTGCGGGGGACTCCGCAGGTGCTGCCTGCGCGCCCTTGGCCGAAGGCTTTGTGATTGCCAACGCTGAGACTTTGCAAGGCAGCAGCAGCTATGAAACCTTCACAAGTTTGAGGCCCCAGAGAGCTCAGCAGCTGGAGGAGCAGCTCCTTAAAAGACAGGAGTATGAGGCTCTCGTGGCTTGCAGCTCCCTTTCCCCGCCCTCCATTTGCCCGCAGAAGTGTGAATGCCCAGGGCTGCATCAGGAGCATGCGCAGCAGCAGCAGCAGCAGCAGCGGACACTGCAGCAGCGGCCGCAGCCGCAAATGCACCAGCAGTTAGGGGGGCAGCGACAACAGCAGCAACGGCAGCAGAAAACTAGGCAGCAGCAGCAGCTGAAATCACAAAGTCCTCAGCAGCAGCAACAGATGCAGCAGGGACATAACGCGCATCCTCGGCAGCAACTGCCAGAGCACCCTCAACAGCAGCAGCAGCAGCAGCAGCAGCAGCCGCGGCAGCAAGACCAGCGGCAGCAGCAGCAAACTACTTCAAAGGGGGGCCGCCGAAGAACGCGAAGGGGCGGCCAGCGACAAAGAAATAGCGAGACGCAGGGGGGGCCCCCTCAAGGGCCAATCGCAGACTCCACGGCCCCCCCGGACTTCCCTTCTGCAGCAGAAGGCCTTATCAAAGGCATCGATATCCCCAGCAGCAGCAGCAGCAGCAGCAGCAACAACACAGGGCAGTGGTCGTTACATGCTCCTCTCCAGACACGTTCGAGTCCTGTGGGGGCCATGCTTGTGGTGTCGCCTGCCTCTGCAGCAGCAGCAGCAGCTGGGGGGCCCCCTGCATGCCTCAGCGAGCAGGCGGTGCCGTGGGGCTTCTCAGCGGGGGCCCCAAGCAGCATTTTTGAAGAACTAAGAAGGGCCCCCCAAGGCCAAAGGCCGCTGCATGCAAGCTCGGGTGAAGAGGGGGCCCCTGAGGCGGTCTCGCAGGCCAGTTTGTACTACGGGAGCCTTTCTCCGGGCCAGGAGGAGGCCCTGGAGGGGCAGCAGCAGTACCCAGTGGCCCCAGGGGCCCCCTTGGCTGCGCAGCGGCAGCAGCAGCAGCAGCTGTTGCAGCAGCAGCACCACCTCGGGATCAGCTTCGAAGAACAGGTGGAGATGACCCGCCTCGTCATGCTGCACCAGGGCACGCTGCAGTGGGAAGAGGCCCCTATTCAAATGTTTGCACCGGAGTTTGGGGGGCTCCCCCCCGGCGAGGGGCCCTTTACAATAGAGGGTATTGAGACTTATGGGGCCCCCAGTGGCCCGCAGCTGCCCCCAGAGATCCCGCCTCTGCCTAAGCCGGAGGAAGAGGCCCCTGAGTGGGCTGACGAGGACGGAATGGCTGTAGAAGGGGGCCCCAGGCCAGAGCTGTTGGGGGCCCCCATGGGGGGCCCCCCAGATGAACCCGTGGAGGCCTCTTATGCGTGGCCCTTTGCATGCAGCGTCGTCTCGAGCCATTCGCGCCAGGAGCCTCAGCAAGCGTCTGTAGCTTTTATGGACACTTACGAGCTAGGCAGCGACAGCAGCTGCAGCTGCTGCCACTACGACTGCAGCAGCAGGGGAAGCGAAGACGACAGCAGGAGAAGCAGCTGCAGCAGCATCAGCTGCAGCGGCAGCAACCCCTCAGAAGAAGAATCCAACTCGGGGGACAGCGGCGACGGGGCTCGCCTTGCCCCAGAGCAGCAGCGCCGCGTGTCAGATATGACCAGCAGCAAAAGCACCAGACGCAGCAGCAGACGCCGCTCTGTGGAAGCAGCAGCAACTGACCACTGGAAGCTCCAGAGGGGACATGTGACGACAAACATCTCAGAAATGTCCTCAAAGGAAGCAGCAGCAGCCAGTAAAGCAGCAGTCTCAGCAGCAGCAGCGAGTGGCCGGAGCCTGTCGCCTGAGTGCAGCGCGCACTCGAGTTGGAGCTCACCCATGGCCCGAAGCAGCAGCAACAGCAGCAGCAGCAGCAGCAGCAGCAGCAAGGATCACGGCAGCTGCAGCAGCAAGGAGGACGACGGCAGCAGCAGGAGAGAGCGGGCCAGCCGGAGTCGACGGCGACGGCCCCTCCAGTCCGGAGAGGCCTCCAGAGAGTTTGCCCACGAGGGTTTGAAGCGGCTTCGGAGGGGCCCCCGGCTGCTGCAGCAGCGGGGGGGCCCCCCGGCCCCTTCGGGGCCCCCGCAGCAGCTGGGGCGCCTGGGGCCCGTGCACGAGCGCATGGTGATCTTTGACTGGGATGACACATTCTTTCCGAACTCTTGGATTGCTTCCAGAGGCCTCAGCCTGGTTTCCGACCCTTCGGAATATGCTGCGGACTTGCCGCTGCTGCAGCGGCTGACCCAGAGCAGCCGCAAAGTGCTGCTGGCTGCTCGAGAAATCGGCAGAGTTGTACTCATTACCAACGCAGCTCAAGGCTGGATCGATGAGACCTGCAAGCGTTTTCTCCCTGGCCTCTGGCCCCTTGTAGAGACACTCCGCAGGACCTCCGCCAGGTTCCTCTTCGACTCGCCTTCCACGGAGTCCCCATTTGTCTGGAAGGTGGGGTTCCCAGTCACTGTCTTTGTTCATTTCGGGCTTTTTGATGCATGCAACGCCCCTAGGCTTGCATGCAGGGCCCTGGGTCTTTGTTGAGGGGCTGCAGGGGTCCATAGAAAGAGGTTACGCAGGCTTAATGTTTGCTGGAAAGATGCACAATGGGGATTTAGTATACGGTCAGGGGGAGTCCCACAATGTAATTCTGGAAATGCCCCATTGCAGCAGCAGAAAGAACACTTCTGCGGAGGCTTAGATAGTCTGCAGTGCCGGAGAAAAGCCCTACAAGTCATGACATCTGGCTCAACTGCTAGAACTTAATGGTGTGGGTTTTGTTCAGCGCCTGGCCTTCAAAGAGGAGGTGGACAGACACCTGAGGGAGCACAAATGCTGCAGAACTATCCTCTCCATTGGAGACGGGCCCCACGAAAGAGATGCTCTTTTCTTCTTATGCGAATCAGCGTGAGGCAATGAGCTTGGGCTGCTGCTTTCTTGACTTCAAGGGAAAGGTGCAGCCGCTGCGCTACAGCTGGTGCAGACTTTCGCATAGACACACGATTATGTGCATGCGTAAATCTTGAAATGCATGCATGGAGATATAAGTATACACGTTCAAGTGTCTGTACACAGCTCTGTCACACACAAGCTGGAAGGCACCTGTTCGCATATGCAAAAGAAACAGCACGAAATATAAGTGCAAGACGCCAAGTGCATGCGCAGGCAGACTCATAAGGGTAGCTAAAAATGAATGAGCGGCACAAAATAGCAAAAACGTAACTGTGCCTCCTTGCAGAGTTGCAGGATTGCGGGTGTGCATGTTTATGTAAAAGCTGAGAAAGAAGGAACGGCCAAGCAGCTACGCAGAGCATGTCTGCATTTGCATGCACGTACACTCTGTCTAGTTGCATGCAAGCGAAGGAACAAATAAGGAAAAGTGCATCTTTAAATGCAGCAGGCAGGGCACTCTTCTGTGTGGCTGCTGCTGCTCAGGGCAGCGAAGGCTGGATACGACTTCACCTGCAAGTCTCTCAAGCTGATGGATATGCCTTCTCTGAAGCATTTGAACATTGTGAGCAACAAACAACGACAGCGCCTTTTTAGGAGTTTAAGCTACAATTTAGACTTTGGCGCCTAGAGAAATGTTGAATGTGCATTTAAAGTTCAAGTGGACTGAGGGCATTTAAAGTTTAAGTGAATTGCGGAATTTTACATAAGACGCTTCAGTCGCTTCAGTCGCTGGGCTTCTTTTTCTTAAGCGCGACAACGCGCGCCCTTGTCTGCAGTTGCTGTTGCAGTCTTATGGCTGACCTGTTGCAGCTTTGCATGCATATGTCTGGGGGCTTTTCTGCACTAAAGTCCGTTTTCTGACTAATTGCAGTGGTGTTACTAAGACTGGGGAATTTCGAAACAGTTGGCAGACGTTGTTTCCACTTTTGAACTGCTACTTTCGTGGCGATTGCTGTTGCTGCTCCGTTGTTCGCCTCTGGCGTTGCTGCTGCAGCAACACTCCTTGCTGCTGCACACGCTGGACTACCTGCTGGGTCACGACGGCCACTTGGACTTGTGCGTGAGAGCCCCCCCGTCCATTGAAGCCCCCGTTTGTTCTGAAGAACTGGACACGAGTTACGAGGAGCTGCCGCTGCCAGCCAGCGAGAGGAGTGGCCGGGCTCTCCGAGCAGCAGCAGACGCAGAAAGCAACTTCGACGACCCCGTGAACGCTGCAGTGCGGCTCTTGAACTTGAACTGGCGGCGCTGCAGCAGGGGCGCCGCTTCGCTGCTGCACATCGACCACCACTCCAGCTTGACTGTTGGCTGCCGCACTGCCATGCTGCCTCAGTAGCCAAACTGCAAAACCCCCCGCTAAAAGCAGCAAAAGCAAGAACATTAGCTAGCAAGGTCTGACGGACACGCATAGGGCTCATTGACACACGGGTATGTCATCAACAAGCCTCCTCACTCATACTGCCTCTTCTAGTGAGGCTGCTGCTGCCGTGAGTGTTTGGTTGTCTTGTTGCTGATGCTACGTAAGGCCCCCGTCGAAGTTTCATCATTCTCTCAGCTTTCGTGTTGCTGCAACTTCAGTGCCTGCTGCTCATGCGTTTGTAAACAGCGCTGCAGCTGCCTTCGCTCCCACGTTTTGTTGTTGCTGCTGTGGTGCTATGACTGCTACTTTTGTTTCATCAGCTGCTTCCGTTGCCGTTTGTGCTACTGTTCTGGCCATGTTGTTTCTGCTTCTGCATGCTTTTAAATTTTGTCTAACTGGGGTAATTTAGACTGCCTTTAAAAACAGAACAAGCAATCCCACATGTGTCTTGCTGTGACTTTGAATATCTTGTAGCAATGGGTTTCCCTATGCTTTTGCCACAGGCGCACCCACAGCAGCATGGGGTTAAGTGGCCGCACTGGTGGCTTTCCACGTCTGCGTGACTGCCTCTGAACAGCCCAGCTGCATGCTGAGCTTCTGCAAGCGAAAAGGGAGTAAGCTTGTAGGCTTGGCGTTTACCAGACTTCAGTTTACTGTTATTGGTAGCCGCGCCGCCGCAACTGATGCTACTGGCGTATCCACAGCAGCACCAACACTGGAAGCAGCACCGCCTGCTGCTCTTCCGCAGCAGAACGAGCTGCAGCTGCTCTGTTATGGTTGTGGCGGTTGTTCTAGTATGAAAAGGGGCCCCAGTCTTGTCCAGTAGCTCCCTTTAGTGTTCGTTTGTGGCCAGCTGTGGCATGTAAACTCTTGTGTTCACTCTGGAGTCACCTTGCCAATCAACGCCGTTCTTTCCAAATTGTCAATCTATCGCTAATGAAACCAAATCAACATCCAATGGACTATCGACGGGTTCACGCCGCCGAAACGTAAACAGAAGGAACGTAGAGAGCCATTATCCTGCAGCTGCCTCCCTTACTGTAGCTGAAACCACTGCAGCTCTCGTAGCTGCTGCTGTTGTAAGCACTGCTGCTGGAAGTGCTGTCGCAGTAGGCGGTGCTGCTGCTGTTGTGCACAGTATTCATTGCCTTGGCATTTTCTGCAAATTTTGGTGCTTCACCACTCCGCCTCTCGTTGCATTCACGGTTTTGAAACCTCAGTTCTTGCACCTGAAGTTGGTACTGAGACAGAAACAGCAGCTTGCCCACAACAACAGCACTACGGGATGCAATACTCAAGATAAGGGCTGGGCTGCGCCAAACAACCCAGCAGAGCTTGATGTTGAATACAAGAGATATTTTGCAGCTGCTATGTTCTGTCTTCACCCAGGACACAGATATACAGTGCTCGAGATACCCATGTGTATCTGGGCTCACGAAGACCTCAGCTGCTTGCCATTTATCAGTACTGACCTCTCCCTGGTTCGCTTGTTTGTCAAACTCCTTTTTGGGAGCCCAATTGGGCTCGTTGTAAATCTGTTTGTCTTCTTTTCTATTTCCTTTTCTACGCGTCAATTTGTGTATGCCTGAATCACTGCTAGCCAACTCTGCTAACTTGGGCTGTTTTGCTCTCGCTTCTTACCACTCAATTTTGCACATTTCCCCTCATATTATGCTGCGTATTTCGCATGAGGAGGCTACAGCTCTCTAATCCCCAGACAAAAAGGCACGACAACAGCAAACAAGGGCTACAGCAATGCTTAAAATAACTAAAACGGTAGCATCGGGCGGCGTTTCTGTTGCTGCTAGTTGCAAACGAAGAGGGCCCGAGGTTCTCGCTACAAGACAATTCGGCACGAGCTGCCTCAATAAAGACAAAAAAGGCTACTAAGAAACATGCCGGACTCGTAGCACTTCACCGAGTCGGCATGACCCTGATGGATTCCTTTAAAGCATTGGCTCCCAGAGCTAGACCGCTAGCTCTGGCTGTGGCTAGCTGCTCTCCACAGTCGTGTGGGGCTACTGGGACTACCTGTCTGTGCCCCTTATTCGTTTGCTGCGCGCCTGCGGCTCCCCGCCTGCGTCCTGGTGGCTTTTGCGTTTTTGAGAAGCTGCACTTGTCCCCAACGTCGTTGAAGCAAACGCAGCAGCAATGTCAGCATCCGCAAAGGCCGCAGCAGCAGCAGCAGCAGCAGCAAAGGGGGATTCGGGGCCAGCCACAGAGGCTGCAGCAATTGCTGCGCCGTGGATGTAATTGCTGCTGCCTCCACGCCTGCCGCACCCATCCGTGAGCGCCGCCGGTCCAGCGACTAGTGGCTGCTGCTGCTGCTGCTGCGGGCTCTGGCCCACACAAGGACTCTCGCTGCAGCGTCTGCTGTCTGAGTCTAATGTGCGGACAGCAAAAGCTGAGGAAAGAATAGATCTGTCTTCTTTGCTGCCTCCACTGCAGGGACCGTGGCAGTCTGGTGCTGTATTTGTATCTGTTGGCGAGGCCCGGGTCGACGATTCTGCTTGCTGCTCCTCTTCCTCCTGCTGCTGCTGTTGCTGTTGCTGCTGCTGCTGCTGCTGCTGTTGCTGGCGTTGCGCCTCCTCCTTCCGTCGCTTCTGCTGCTTTTCCCCCTTCGGTTGCTGCTGCCTGGGCTTCCTCTCAGAACGTGGGCTGCCAAGCAAGTTCTCGGGAATGGAGAAGTTTCGGCTGCGTCTGCGGGCCTGAGCTGAATGTTCTAAAGGACCTGCTGCGCTGCGCAAACTGTCAGCCAAGAGCTCGCAGCAGTTGAAGGCGGAGGAGTGCGGAACAGAACACATAAGCAATTCTCTAAAAGATTTCAGGAAAGAAATATCATCCTCAAGCGGCTCCGTCTGTTTTGCTGCGCCTGTAGCAGCTTCCCCATCGCTTTCCGGCAGCAGCGCAGCAGCAGGCGAAACGGAAGCAAAGGCAGCAACGCCGGGGCCCCCAGGGGCCCCCGACGGGGCGTGGAGGTCTTCTTCACTCCCTACAAGAAGGCAAGAAGGAAAGGGCATTTCTGCATTATAAATTGTTTCTGGCTTACTGGCTGTGCCAAAGCGCTGTTCCCGAGGCGGCCGCCAATCCACTACAGTTACTACTTTCCCCTCATGCTTTTCGGGCCATTTGAAGGCTACTCTTTCAGGAGACCCCACTTTCACGCCTCCAGCAGCAGAAGCAGCAGCAGCAGCAGCAGCGGAGGAGCGGGCGCCGTGTCGGCTCTGCCCTTGGGCCCCAAAGGGCTGGGAAAGTCCAAGGCAAAGCATCCCCCGAGAAGCAAGGCCAAGGGCCGAAGTCCGAGTGTGCGTGTGGTTGCTGCCGTTGCTGCTGGAATTGTCTAGGGCCCCCGCAGCAGCAGCAGCAGCAGCAGCAGAAGCAGCAGCAGATGCAGCCTTGGAAGCAGCGCCTCTAGTGCCCCGGCGCCTGCGGCCCCGCTGCTTCGGCGGGGCCCGCGGGGGCTTTGGGGGAGGCTCTGGCTCCCCGTGTTCCAAGTGGTGCACCAGCAGCAAATGTTCCTGCTGCTGCACCACTTGGTGGCGTTCCATTTTGCTGATGGGTCTGCAAGTGTAGGGTCTGCTGGCTTCTCGCTGCTGCCACGCGGGGCACTCCCTGCATGTCGGGCTAGCGAGAAAAGCCCCCGTCGCCCCAGTGGGTCCCCCGGGGGCCCCCCATGGATCTGCGGGGGCCCCAGCGGCACGGCCCGGCCGCGGCGGCGCGGCGGTGTTGGTGGGGGCCCCCGGGCCGGGGCCGTAGGGCTTTTGGTAGGCGACTGTGGGCCCCGCACTGCCCCCCGGGGGTCCCCCCGGGGGGCCCCCCTTGGACTCCCCAGGCTCGGAGTCCTCGAAGTCCGGAAAAGCAAATGAAGGAGAAACACCGTGAAGAGGAGCCAAGTAAGACTCCCCAGGGGGCAGCCCCCGCGGCGGAGGCGAGAGCCGGCCCGAGGGGCCCCGCGGGGGGCAGCGCACGAGGGGGCCGTGCAGAAGGGCCTCTTGTGTGGGGAGGAAGAGAGAAAGGGGAGTTTGGAGGCAGCGGGAGAGCCAGTGGGGTGCAGCGGGGTCCCCGAAGCTGCTGCTGTTTGCTGCTGCAGCAATGCGCCTGAGGATCGCAGCCAGCTGCCCCCCCGGGTCCACCGGAAACGTGTGCAGCGTGTCTTCAGCCAGCTGCAGCACGGCGCTGCTGATCTCGAAGTTGCTGAGCCAAACAGCTTCTTGCATGTCTCGGTCGAGAGTATTTTGCCGCAGCGAGGCCACTTCCACCAGCAGCTCAGGGTGCTGCGCCAGCAGCTCTTCTGCTGCTGCTGAGAAAGACCGTAGCGACTGCAGCAGCTGCTGCTGCAGCTTCTGCTGCCGCTGCAGCTCCCGCAGCGTCTCCCCTTGCTCCGCAGCAGGCACAATGTACCGCACGAAGTCCAGAAATGGTTCCACTGCCACCTTCGGAAGCGCGAAGCAGGCGTCGCACTGCTGCAGCAGCAAAGCCACGCGAGCCACCAAAGACTTTCGGTCGAGAGTCTTGCTGCGGCCTTCGGGCTCAGCAGCAGCAGCAGCAGGGGGCCCCTCGGAGTCTCTGGGCGGCCCCGCAGCTGCTGCTTCTTCTTCTTGCGGCATCTTCTGCAGCACAGCGGCGTAGCGCGACGCTCTCGCTGCTACTGCTGCTGCTGCTGCCCCTGCTGCTTCCGCTGCTGCTGAAGCCAGTGCGCCTGCTGAAGCTGCTGCTCGCGCCGAGCACTGAGAGTTGCGGCTTGTGGGGCGAAAGGCCCAGCGATTTGCCTTCGTCGCCGCAGCCCGTGTCTTCGCAGCAGCACCTGCTGCAGCACTTGCTGCAGCACTTGCTGCAGCGACTGCTGCCTGCCAGGGATCGCTGCTGTTGCTGGTCTTGGCACTGCTCGCACGGGTTCTCGCAGAGCTGTCGGCGCCGTTGGCGGCGCTGCTGCTGCTGCTGCGGCTGCTGCTGGCCACTCTGCTGCTGCTGCTGCTGCTGCTGCTGCTGAGCCCGCAGCCAGCCTGCAGCTGCCGCTCCGCGAGTTCCAGCAGCTCGGCCTTCTGAGCGTCCAGGTTCTTCTGATGCACCATCACCTTCAAGATGCTATTGAGGACGGCTTGCGTGCTGCTGCTCTCTGCAGCAAAGTTCAGCCCTGGCTCTCCTACCCTCTGCAGCAGCTCCAGCTGCCGCTGGTGCTGGGCCTTCAGCTGCTGCAGCAGCTGCTGCCGCTCAGGCTCGGCCTCTTCGTGCGCCCGCCGAAGCTTCAGCAGAACATCCATTGCTGCTTGACGCTTCTTTTCTTGCTCAGGGTTCTGGTGAACCTGCCCTGGCTGTTGCTGCAGCTCCTGCGGCTGCTGCTGTTGCTGCTGCTGTGGCTTCTGTTGCGGCGTCTTTTGCTGCTGCGGCTGTTTCCGCGGCTGCTGCTGCGGCTGCTGTTGCTGCTGCTGCGGCTGCAGCTCCTGCTGCCCCTGCTTTTGGTTCAGAGGCTGCTGCTGCACTTGTTCTGTTGTTTGCTGCTCCTCTTCTGCCTCCCCCTGGACAAACGGCCCCTGAGAAAGCAGGTGCATGGTCCGCAGCAGCTGCTGCTTGCAGCGTTCCTGTTGCTGTGGGTCGCCTGCCAGAGCCCGTTCAAATTGCTGCTGCTGCTGCAGCAGGATCTCCTTTTCCTGTCTTTGTGTGTCGTTGAGCGCAGCTATCTGCATTCTGTGGTGCTGCTGCAGCACCCCGTTAACAGTGTTGTGGTGCCAGGTGACTTTGATGCGGAGCTCTGTTGTCGGAAGCTGCTGAAGGTGCTGCCGCTGCTGCTGCCGCACCTGTTCGCGCTGGTCCGCATGCGTGGCTGTGACAGTTTCCCGCTGCTGCTGATGCACGTGCTGCAGCTGCTGCTGATGCAATTCCATCTGTCTTCTAACCAGGGCACTGGCCCGTCTCCACAAAGTCTCTGGAATTGTGCTGCAGTCTTTCAGGCACTGCAGCAGGCTCTGGAGCTGCTTCGCTTGTTCATGGTGCTGCTCCTGCATTTGCTTCCAGGCTTCCTGTTGCTGTCGCTGCCTCTGCTGCTCTCCCTGCAGCGCTTGCTGCTGCATTTGCTGCTGCATTTGCTGCTGCTGCTTCACTTGCTCCTGAAGCTGCTTCAGCCTGAGCTGCCGCTGCGCAAAAATAGCAGCACCGATATGGCCTCTTTCATTTTCTATAGGCACCTGCAGCAGCAGCTGCGGCTGCAGTCGCTGCATTTGGTGTGCAGCCTGCCTGACGTTCGGCACTTGCTGCTGTTGCTGCTGTTGCTGTTGCTGCTGTTGCTGTTGCTGTTGCTGTTGCTGGTGTTGCTGCTGCTGCTGCTGCAGCTGCTGCTGCAGCTGCTGCTGCAGCTGCTGCTGCAGCTGCAGCTGCTGCTTCTGCTGCTTCTGCTGCAGCTGCTGCTGCTGCAGCTGCTGCTGCGGTGGCTGCTGCTGCGGTGGCTTCTGCTGCGGTGGCTGTTGCTGCGGTGGCTGCTGCGGCGCATTTATAGACTGCGGCGGAGCTGTCAGAACCTGCGCTCCTTGCTCCAGCGGCTGCAGCTGCTGGGGGGACTGCGAGGTTTGTCGCGGCGGGCGTTGCTGCAGCTGCATCAATTGGTGCACTTGATTTGATGGCTGTACGGGCCTCACCTGCTGCAGCTGCTGCTGCAGACGCAGCCTCACCAGCTGCTGCGATATGTGCAGCTGCAGCGGAAACTGCGCATTCAGCGCGGCCTGGCCCAGCTCCTGCAGCGGCTGCGCAGCTTGCCAGGGATTGCTTTGTGCCAGCTGCTGCAGCAGCCTGTGCAGCTGTGTCTGCTCCCAGCCCATTGTTTGCTGCAGTTCTCTTGTGGGGGACTGCTGGTGCTGCTGTATATGCTGCTCCACCTGCCTTTCCAGCTGCAGCTGTGCCGGCGGCTGCAGCTGCGAAAACATCTGCCGCCCCGCGGGCTGCTGCAGCAGCGAGCTTTGCTGCGGCTGAGTCGACTGGCGTCTTTGCAGTGCTTGCTGCTGCAGGTGCATTGCTCGCTGCAGCTGCAGCGCTCGCTGGTGCAGCTGCAGTGTCTGCTGCTGCTGTTCGATCATTCGCCGCACGTGCAGGCGTTCTTGCAAATGCAGTCTCCTTATTTGCTCCCACTGCGTCCCTGTGTGCTGCTGCTGCTGCTGCTGCAGTTGGCCACTCTGAGCTTGTTGAATATTCAGCATCGGCTGTGCTTGCGTCTGTTGCATCGGTGCTGCTTTCAGCTGCGTCAGTTGGTGCTGCTGCGACACGTTCTGCCTCTGCTGCTGTTGTTGCAAATAAGAGTGTTCCTGGAGCTGCTGCACTGCTTGGAGCTGCTGTAGCTCTTGTTGTTGTTGCTGCGCCAGCTGCTGCCGCAGTGTTGGTTGCTGAAGTCCCATCTGCCGCAGCAGCCGCTCCGGTGGCTCCGTGGACTGCTCGAGTGCTGGCTGCGGCTGCTGCTGCAGCAGCAGCAGCTGCTGCGGCTGCAGCAGCGGCAAGTTTAGGTGTTGTTTGCAAAGTTCTCGCAAAAGAGGCCCGTGAAGCCTCTGCTGCTGCTCCTGTCGTTGCTGAGTTTGTTGCTGCTCATTGAGAGCCTCGCCCACATACCCAAGACTCCCACGTGCGGCCAGGGGCTGCTGCAGCAGGCCTGCATGAGCTGGCAGTTCGGTCTCTTGCTGCTGCTGCTCCTGCTGCTGCATTCTAGTGGGGCCTTCCAGAGCTGCTGCGGGCTCCAGGGTTTCTCCCATCTGGCAGCCCTTGCTCTGCGCTTCCTGTGCGGGCCGCTGCTGCTTCTGCTGCTGAGGCCCTCCTGCCGGAGCCTCCAGGAGGTCCTGCTGCAGCTGCTGCTGCTCGTGCTGCAGCGTCAGCTGCTGCGTTGAACACGATTCTTGGAGCTGCTTTTGAAGGGCCTTCTGTTGCTGTTGAGCGCCAGTAGGGCTTATTGGGTCTCGAGCTACATTTGCTTCTGCAACCTGTTGCAGGAGCCCTAGCAGCTGCCTCTGGTGCTGCTGAGGCGGTCTTGGGAATCTTGCTTCTTCGGCTATTCCGGTCTCGTGTTGCTGCTGCTGCTGCTCCTCCTCCTCCTCCTCCTCCTCCTCGTCACTTTGGTCTGTTTGCCTCTCTCTGTCCTGCTCCAAAATGAGCCTCATATTCCCTATCACAGGGCTATCAAAAAACTGCTGCTGTTGCTGCTGCTGCTGCTGCGTGGCAGGGCTTAGGCCTGCTGTTTCCTGCTGCTGCGACGCTGCTGGCGCTGAGGGCTGCGCTGCGAGCTGCCCAGCGGGCAAGTGCAGCAGGGGGCTAGTTGGCGTTTGCTGCAGTTGGTCGTTTTGCTGCAGCAGCTGGCTCAGCGGGCCAAAACGAAGGGGCGTATGCTGCAGCTCTTGCTGCTGCGTGTCTTCAGCCTGCAGCAGCGCCAAGTCGCCGATCTGCTGCTGCAGCTGCTGCTGTTGCTGCTGCTGCTGCTCAGGGTCTTCGTCGCCCTCTTTGCGCTCCACCAGCCGCAGCTGCTCCTGTAGCTGTCGCTCTCTGAGACCCTGAATGCCTTTTTCAGGTCTCAGATGTTCTAGAAGTTTGTTGAGCTTTCCTGCGTCTTGAAGAAGCTGCTCCTTGGTGAAGTTTCGCACTGTTTTCTGCTTGCGGGGCCCCTCGCCTTCGGCCCATTGCTGCTGCTGATCGTGCTGCTGCTGCTGCTGCTGCAGCTGCTGCTCTGCGTCGGCTTGCAGCCGTAGCTGCTGCAGCTGGTTGAAGCCGCCCAAGTGCTCAGTGTCCACGAGAGTCACGGGCTTTCTCTTGGGCTGTTCTTGGGGCACTGACTGGCCTGCTGCCATCATTTGTTCTCTATAGAGTTGTCTTTCCGCCTGAATTTTCTTTTGTCTCTCTCTTTCTTCTTCAACCAAAAAGGCCTCCTCTTCGTGGTTCAGCAGCATTTGCTGCTGCACAACGGCGTGCACGTCTTCCTCTTTCATGGGGCTCGCGTGCACTTTGCGCAGGTACTCCCGCGGCTTCGGCTGCTGCTGCTGCTGCTTTTGCTGCGGGGGCGTCGGGGGCTGCGGCAGGCCCAAGTCGTCGTTGATCTTTCGAATGAGCGCATCCATTTCCTTCTGATGCCGCTGCTCCACTTCGCTGACTTGGAGATGGTGCAGGTGCCTCAGCTCTTCCTGCTGCTGCGCATGCCGTTGCTGCCGCTCCCGTTGCTGCGGCCGATTCAACTTCGGCTGCAGCCCCCCTTGGCTGCGCTGCATCGACTTCAGCCTCTTCAGCTGCTCCTTGTGCTTCCGCAAGATCCCCTCCAGCTCGCTGCTCTGCTGCTGCCTCATGTCTTCAATTTCCTGCAGCTTTTGCTGCTCCAGCGCTGAGAGTTCGCTGCAGCTGTCTTCGCTGAGCCTCAGCTGCTCTTGCTGCTGCTCAGCAGACAGTTCTTCTTCAGGATCGCAAGACAGACTTTCAAAACATTCAATCTTTTGCGTCAGGGACTGCTGCTGCGCCTCTTCCAACTGTTGCTGCAGCAGCTCCTGCTCAACGCAGAGCGAAAGCACTTGCTCCAACTCTTCTGCTGCTGCTGCTTCGCAATCCACTGCCGCTTCCGCTGCCTGCTGCGAAGGCGGGGACAGCAGCAGAAGCTGCTGCTGCGTTGCAACACCCTCTACTGTTTCTATGTCTTGCTGCACAAATTCCATGTCGGTCTGCTGCTCCTCGGCTTCCAACTGCTGCTGCTGCTCCAACATAGAAAACTGCAGCGGCGACGGGGGCTGGCGGCGCTGCTGCTCCTGTTCCTCCTGTTCCCCCTGCTGCTGCAGGTCGTGCTCCTGCTCCTGCTCCTGTTGTTGCTGCTGCTGGTGCTGCCGCAGCTGCTCCCGCTCCTGCTGTTGCTGCTGCTGTATTTCTTGTTGTCCTCCCCGCTCTTGTCGCTGCGGCTGCTGCCGCTCTTCTTGTTGTTGCGTCTGGCTTGGCTGCAGGTAGTTGGATTGTCTTCTCCGCTGACGCCCCTGGCGCTGCTGCTGGCGGCGCACGCTCGGCTGCTGTTGCTGCTGCAGCTGCCGCCCCAGCTGCTGCTGCTGCTGCTGCTGGGAAGACGGCGACCGGTCTGGCCGCTGAGCCCCATCTGCATTGTGCTGCGCTGGCTCCAGCAGCAGCTGCTGCAGCTGGTCATCCACTTGTCGCTGCAGCGGAAGCGGGGGACCCAAGTGCATGCGCTGCAGCTCATAGGGCAGCTGGCTGTGACTGGGGGAAAGACTTTTTCTCATTTGAGGAGACTGTGAGTCCTCTAGTTGCTGCTGTCCGCATCTAAGTGCTTCAAGCTGCGACTGGACCTCAATAAGCTGCTGCTCCACAATGACTTCTCCCTCCTCGCGCTGCAGCTGCCGCAGCTCGAGGCTGATGTCAACGCCTAGCATCTGCTGCAGCTGCCCTTGCTGCTCAACCCCGCTTTCCATAGAAATGTAGGCCTCAGCTAAAGAAGTGCTTCCAGAAATGAGCTGGGCAAACTGCCCGGAAGCAGCGAATTGGGCATTTCTTGAAGAGTCAGTTGGCTCCAGGCCGCCGGGCGGAGTCAGTTGCTGGCGTCTTTCCATTTCCGAAAAGCTGCTGCTTCTGCAGTTGCTGCTTCTGCTGTTGCTGTTCCTGCTGTTGCTGCTTCTGCTGTTGCTGTTTCTGAGGCGATTTGCCTGGACGCAACAGTCTGGCCAGAAAAGTAGACTCCCCGTGTTGTTTATTTAGCTGAATGTATAAATCAAGAACTGGTCTTTTCGGAAAAAACGCAAAAAGTCGTTTTATAGATCTTGCTGCTTTGCTGCCAAGGCCAGCTTTTCTGATGCTGCAGGAATGTGCGGATCCTCTGCTGCCACTGAAATGTGGCGAGCTGCAGTGGCTGCGGTGGCCTCTGCAATAGTTGCATCTGTGTCTCCTGTCTTCTCTCTGGCTGCTCTTCTTTCAGTAGTTGTTCTTTTGTTTTCAGATGCTTTCAAGGGGCTAAACTGACACTGGGCAGTCAGCTTCTGGGGCGCCGGGTGCTGCTGTGGCTTCTGCTGCTGTTGCTGCTGCGACTGCTGCGCTGCCTGCAGATTTGCTGTTCGCAACAGAGCCCTGTATAACAGCTGCATCGGCTCCCGTAGCAGCAGCAGCAAAGGCCACAGCTTCTTCGGGAATTCGCTGCCGAGGCCGCCGAAAAGGCTATCTTTGCTGCTGCTGCTGCTGCTGCTGCTGCTGCTGCTGGTTTGGCTGTTGCCGTAAGTTTTGTCTCTGCATCTGCTGCTAGCCTCAGTCCATGAGCAGCTGCAGCATGCTGTGTCGGGCTCCAGTTTTAGATATCTGCAAAAGCCTGTGAGACCACGTAGTGCCTTTACCTGGGCTTCTCTCTGCAGCAGCAGGCTGCAGCAATGTTTTACAGTCTTCTGCGCAGTCAGCAAATCTATGTGGCTTTCATGATGGCTGAGACAGCTACGGCAGCCCCAACCCGTGAGGCACGGCAAAGTAGTTCGCTGTGGACTTCCCCTAGGGGATATCGGGCCTCAGAAGCACCAGTTTCAGGCTGTGCAGCAGCAGAAGTTCAGACTTTCTAAGATGGATAAAAGTTCGCCAAAGTGCGGGCTGAAATCGATGCGACCAGCTCAGCTGGTGGCTCCCGTTCCCTTGGATGCGACCCAGAAGAAAAGGCTGCAGCAGTGGGCCTCCAGTGAAGTTTTCAGGCGATGGGAGCCAAAGAAAAGAGGCCCGTTGTCCTGTCCAACGGCACCTGGATCTATAAAAAAAAGAACTTCGCCGTTCCAAACTGTAGGTGGCGGCTGGCAAAAGTTGTCCTGAGTTGATTGTCTTGTCAGAATGTTCACCAGTCGGATGTTGCGCTCCCAAACGAAGACTTCAGCTCTTCTGTATGCACATAAATTTGCTGATGCCTACGGAAAAGTCAGTTTGGACTGCCCTTGACTCCCTGCTAAAGGCGAAGGCAAGGACAGATGGCAACACTCTCCTGGAGTTGTCGTTGCTAGAGTTGCTGTTGCTGAAGCTGCCGCAGTCCCATAAGCGCAGACCTTGTCCATGCATTTCAGGCCATTGCAGAAACACGGTTATCCCAAAAATCAACCAAGAAAGACTGGAGCTCCTGCTATAGTGGGGTGCTGGCAAACTGGGACTTTGGAAAGCATGTGTTACATCCGCAGCCAAAATATCAAGGCGCACTGGGTTTCTGGTGCATTTCCAAAAATTCTAAAGGGATGTTTTCTTCTACAAAGCGGTAAGGCCCCAAACAGCCTTTTCTCCTGAGGCCCTAAAGGCGTGTCCATAGCCTGTGATGAATCTGGTCGCTGCCAACAGTGCCCATACACTCCGTTGCACTGTGAGTCCGCCGACAGCAGCCATGAGCTACAAGAAAAAAGCCATTTACAAGTTAGCTGATGGAAAACATCAAAAAGGGACAGGTATGGACTGAAGAGCAGCTGGCAACCCTGTGCAGCTGCTCCCGCATAGGTCACCTGCGGGTGACCAACCAACAGAAACGGAGCTGTGATTGGACCTTTGGAGTCTGCAATCAGTAGTGTGAGCCTCTGGCATTTTTCGAAAGAAAGAAAAGGCGGAGGTGTAAGCGACTCATTGGCACAAGTGCCACTGACAGCCCCTGCATAAGCCCAAAGCGGCTGCAATGGTCTGGACCGCGACCATCGTAGGCTGCAGGTAGACGACGAGCCTGTGAACAAGGATACCGTGGCGAAAGCAAAATACTGCTTAGTGCAGACTTAAATATCCCAAATATCTCCATGATCTCAAGCGAATTATTTAGCAGAAGCAGTGTTGCACTCTCCAACTGGGACGACGACGTCCACATTCGCATGATACTCGCCGTGAGGAAACGCAGCACCCCATGAAACGCATAAACGATTGTATAGAAGCACACTCATCTCGTTGACTCTGCAAAAATCATTCGTATGCGTTTTAGTGGGTTCTCGATCGGATTATCATACCCTGGGAGCACGGGCAGAAAGCACGTGAAAAACTGCACATAATCCCTCCTTTCTCACGCTGCGCGCGAGATGAGTCAAAATACTGTAAAAAGAGCTTTAGAGAAGCAGAATGAATATCTTTCGAGCGTAAAGGAAACAAGACATAGGGGAATCTCATGTCAGAAAGCTAGTTCAACGCTTCATCACAGAAAGAACAGGAGCTGTCGTAGTTGTCAGCTGCCACGATTCAAGACACCTCTAAAACTGCTGATAAAGCCATGAAGGCGCTGATTTCTAATATTAGGAGTTTCTTGGCGAATTTCCAGGCACATGGATTATCGTCCTCTCCCTGGCATGTCCGTTCCCTTGTTAGGCGCTGCGAATTTGAATAAGTAGTAGTCCTGGGGACTCCTGTGACCGTGTATAGCCCTCAGTTCTGTGAAATTCACGAAAACCCAGAACTACCGCCCAGTTGGCGCGATCTACTCGCACCCAGAAGTAAACGAAATACTAGCAGATGTAAGGCCTGTAGCACAGGCTTCTCTTCTCCCTTTCCGCAAGCTTATTCGTCAAACTTATGTTTTATGGAACACGAAATTCTTCTTTGGACAGAACATCCCCACATATGCTCCTCCCATGAACAAGGAACAACCAACAGCAATACGGAGCACCGGCAAAGCGAAAGAAATGCACCGAAAACACGTGAAGGACAGGATAAAACCGTCGTTAGATACTTAGTTGTGGCAACCTTCTCTATCCATATGAATTTTCCTCCCGACCTTCCCATGTCAAGTTTGGTGCGCGATGCACTCTAGCTTCACCTGCGCGCACCCTAAAACCGCAACATATTCATAATACACATTGACTGTACAATGCGAATACCACTGAAGATTCCTTTTCAACCATTCGAACCACAGCAGCAATAGTACTTTGCTTGAAGCGGCTCTGGCTTCCTGCTCGGGCTGTTGCTCCGGTCAGTCCTTGTAGAACCTACATCAGAATCAATTTCTCATAAGGGAACTAAACAGACCTCACTCTGAAACGTATTTGGATTTTGCTCGCATCTGGGGGCAGCGTTCGGGGGGTTTGCAATCTAAACTTGTCCAACTCTATGAAGAGAGCGCAAGCGTTTATATAGCGCTATGGGCTCGCTACAACCAGCGGCTAAGCAGGGAAGCAGAATTCTACCAGCATGGGTCATGTGCGCTGATGAATACGCAGACAGCATGCAGGGCAGGAGGTGAATTTGCAATGCTTCACGGCGGGGCGCACCCCTCGAAACACTCCCCGACATGATTACACTGTTGCTTGCCTCCAATTATGTTACATTTTCATCTTTATCCTTCCAAAAGCGAGCAACTCTGCGTTGGTGTTTTCTGCGTTGCTCGTAGCGAATCACATGATCGCTCCACACGACGTGAATGAGGAATTACTATGGCCTCACTAAGCCAAGCTGACGACATTTCATTTTACATCTCCCTCCAGAGTGGGATTAAGCTACTACAAGTGTTATGGGGCGGCATGCAGGAGATTAAGGGGAGCTTGTTGCGTTGTAGAAACCACCTCCGCTACGCATCACCCAGCTGGCGTGTTCTCTGGATCCCACAAAGAAAGACTGTATAGGATTGTAACGAAATCAGGGGCGACAAAGCGGTTCCTGGACACCAGGAAGAAAAAACCAAAGATAAAAAGGTCAATTGCTGCTGCAGCATCATCAAATATTCAAATGTTCATCTCACGCAACATTTTTGAAAGAGGAAGAACAGACTAAACAATGACTTCAAGTGTTCTTTCTACTGTTACGCCAAGCAAGAACTGACAGGCAAGTCGTAAGCTGAATAGACAATAACCGAATCTGGTTTGCTCGCACGCTTATTTGCGTTAGTCGGCCCTTCATCTACTGGACCCGAAATGCAGCAAGGCAGGCAAGGCACAAGCACAAACCTATCATCCAAAGGCCTAATGTTACGGAAAAGAAAGGGTAGTAGTCTCCCTTGAAAGCAGGTCTGTCTGTTCTGCCCTTACGTCTCCTTTGTATCTTTACTTAAGACCACAACTTTGTGTCAAGCTCTTATTTTGCAGATTACCTTCACGAAACGAGGAGCATGACCACGCGGGTCATTACAAAAGCAAATTCACTAGTCGAAGCGAAAGCACGTACACACGGCACAGTAAATATGTCACAGATCTGCGTGTTGAGCAGGCTCGGCACCGCATGGGTATTGTGAAATAGTGTCGTGTGCAGACGGACCTCCAGTTGACGGTCCCTGCGGGGCCACTTTCGGGATCTCTGAAGCAAAATCACTAGCCAGACGCCAACCTACAACAGCTGGCGCCGCCTTCGAGAGAAAAGCATTATATCGCGGAATATCTATAAACAACTTTTCGTGGCCCCGCCTGTTTGAAGGAGTGATTCCGGAAAATATTAATCACTCCAGTGTCAGGGGCGTCAGCAAGTGCAGTCACGCAAGCTTGCCATAGCCGTCCACAGTTTGTATTTTCTCATCATGCCTCCCAGACTGGCGGCGCGTTCAGAAAACGCGCCGCCTACGCACGGGCACATTCTACTGGTGTTCGCTGCACCCTCCAGTACTGGAAAGTCGAAACACTTGATAAGCCACTTGGCGACACTAGGCAGCACAAGTTCCTTCCTTGGCTTCGCAATAATAGGCACAAGAGCAAAGCCCGCGATCCAGTTGTAGCTGCTGCGGAATCTAAAGGTCACGTCTGTTCACCAGAGGACGACTCTTTATCATCTGTTCGCCAAGAATCCCAACGGAATGTTTTAAACCATCGAGGAGAAGTCTTTTTGCAAAAAAGCTCGCGTTTCAGTTCGACAGTGTCCCATGCCTCAAGTCGAACGCCCTTTTTCAACAACTCGATTGCCTTGATCAGTCGTAATGCAAGCGTTTCGTAATACCTTGTTCTTTCGAAAGGCGAGGGGAAATTTCTGTGAAGTATTTCTGTTGGAATGGCACCAACAAGCTTGGGCCACCACCGGGATGCATTCATCGTCGGACCCAAAACTTGAATTGTGCTTACGAGCGCATCCAGCATTAGGTAGCGTTGTCCCAAAACTAAAACAGCTCTAGAAGCTGTAGTGCTCGGAACGGGCTTTTGTTGGATAAAATACAGGTTGCACACAACGCGTTCAGCCTCAACAACAAGCCTATTTGCCCCGGTTTCATCAAGTACATCCATTCTAAACCACGATCGTATACTCTCTAGAGGAGTGGAAACTTGCGGAAGTAAGTTACTCCGTGAAAACGCTTCGGACGGAGAAAACCTTCGCACCTTAATGCCTGGAGCCACTTCTGGCAATTTATAAAATGGGTGATTTGTGATAGCTGGATCACAAGGTAACATTCTTCGAAGAACCGATCCTTTAGAAAGTAAGAGGGCAATTTCAGAATTCTTCTCCTTTGATGTCTCCGGCACCTTATCTGCTGATGAGTCATAGGACCGCAATAATGAGCCCAGGATACTTATACCGCTTGCTCCAGCGGACACAGCTTGCAGTAAGGATCTCACCACATCGTCACGTAAAGAGGCGAGACTCGTTGACGGCATTGCTGTTGCCGTTTGCTCTTCGCCCCTACTTCGTTGGGCTGGAGGACTATATGAACTACTCGCACCAGATTCATTCAGTGGCCTCTTGAGTGACTTGGATGCCGCAGGGGATGCTTGGTGCGCAGGGCCTGAGCCAGGCCTTGTCAATGGAAACGGAGAGTGCTCCTGGGTGGCTTGGTGCGCATAGCCTGAGCCAGGCCAAGTCAATGGAAACGGAGAGTGCTCCTGGGTGGTTGAGTACATTCCACGGACAAGTGGACCTGAACTTCCACCACTTTGGAGTTGGCCTGGAGGCGAATGGGTGAAAGGCTGCATTACAGAAGTCGTTTCCTGCAGGCCCTGAAGCCTTTCCTCAAATTCCCCGATCTCAAGAAATGCTTGGCGCGCATGATCAGGGCCACGCGGAGTCAACGGGAGCTGATAACGCTCCTGGGCGGATGAGTAGTCGTCAGGGATTTGCAAAGCCGAACTTCCAGAAGTTTGAACTGCGCCTTCAGGCAAATGGGCGAAACGCTGCATTACAGAGGTCACTCCCTGCATGCCCCGAAGTGAAGACGATGCGGCATTAGCTGGCGGAGTAACATATGAGGTATACGAACTTTCCACAGTCCTAAATGGAATATCAGAAGAGGAAATGGGCGTGGCCTGCATCCGTGAAATGGAAGGACCTGCCATCGGTAGATACTCTTCAGGAGTACTTCTCGCTGGGTATTCCTCAAAAGACGTCTCTTTGGAACGATAGTACCCCGAGAAAGCGCTATCCATAGGTTCCTCAAGGAGCCGAAGAAAACTTGTGGTAGGTTGGGTAATAAAATACTCTTCTTCTGGCATTGAGTCACTTGGAGGTGATTGCTGACTGTGCTGGTGCTGCAAAGTTGATCGTGGCGGCTGGCGGCCAATTGGCTGCGTCTGCGACACAGGTGCCAGTGTTGGGGAAACGTTTTGATTGTCCTCTTCCATATCCAGGCACATATCAAGGATTTGCGATAATTCTGGATCTTTTTCGCCCCTGGGAAACTTACTTGACAGACGCCGCACATCCTTATGCCCTCTCCACTCGTAGCAGATGCGGAAAAAGCTCACTGTCAGGGCCACAACTGCTAGCATGCAAAGTATTACCACTTTGCTTTTGTGAGGAGCAGCACAAACGGGCCGCGTGACTCTAGTGGGAACTTCATGGGCCGACTCTGTGCTTTCCAAATGCTCCAATAGGACAGGGGAAAAATTGAAGCGTTCTCTGCTCGTACAAGGATCAGAGATATGGCGTGAATCTGTAGCCCGAGCCATGTTCACTCGGAAGATACTTTGTCCTGGACACACCAGATGCCCAGGATTTATTTGACTTTGCGCTTAAAAATAACTGGGGTAAAATTGCTGACGTCTCTTGAGTCACTGAGGATATCCCGTCTCGATGATTGAAAATAAAAAGCCCCTTAGGACACAGACCATCTGAGACCGAACTTTACAGTGAGCATGGATCACAAGAAGGGCAAATTACTTGCAAAATGCATGAATGAAGAAAATGGCATCAAAAGAACACAAGCGTGGCAACGCGAACTTGGCTGCAACAGTAGCATGGTGCAGTCTGATGGTCGCAGAGCCTCCGCAAGACGCTTGATTAGCGCGAATGAACACAAAAAGCCACTCCAATCTGAAGATCAGAGGGTGTGCCTAACTGAGTGAAGCTTGGATTTTAGGTTTGGGACTTGGGACATCTACGCCTGGCTTGCTACAGCTGGTGAATGCATGCAGCAGGACAGGACCACGTAGAACCGTTCTCGCTGCATCGATGCTAGTGTTAGCCGGCCAAGCAGGCCCCTTGCAATATAGACCATGCCTCATTGCCCAACGGAAACTGCTCTGACTTTGGGAGAAAATGTCTGGAATATTCATTTGGTCGGGCAATACAGCATACGGTAAATATATTCTCATGACGAAATGCATGTCGAGGGTACGGATATGGTGCGTGTACGCTGTGTGAGAACACCCCACTGCAGTACTCGTGCACAACTCATTCACATACACAACTATGAAACATTTCTGCTTTTTCATTTAATAGGGTTGTTCGTAGCATCTCAGGCACTGGAAAGTGTTCTAATGTGTTGCTGTGGGACAAGGCTACGCTCTAGGGCACCAAATAGGCAGTTGCGCATCACAATGAGGCAAAGAACTAAGACTAAGAGACAATCTGGATCGAATGTAACTTATTTGGAAAACTAATGGCGCATACAGTGTGCATAAAGACAGACCATGAGGATGGTTCCGCTGTGCAAGCACTGGTTCTAGTTACCAAGAGCACCATGCACTCCACAGTAGCCCTTCTGGAAAGTGTTACGTGGATGTCGGCCCTCGAACGGATCGTCTGAAATAGCTGTTTCGTCTATTTATACATTTATAATTGCCATGCGTTGTGTAACAGAACGCAGGCCATTCAACAATAAAGAACCACGTGGACGCAGCAGATGAACAAAGGACTACAAGTTGGCGCTTCAGGATTGCACGAACTGGCTCACACTATACATTCATGAACGGCAATCATGCCTACACTCATACAGAGACTTCGCAGAAACGTGCACCCTCAGAAAAGGACACATCTGCAGCCCACGCGTCTTTGGAACACCCAGAAAGCCAACATCAGAGGTGCTCATACAGCGATAGCATTCTGAAAACTTTTTGGATAAGAAACGAAAATAACCGAAGCCTGAGTTGAAGGGCCTATCAAGACTGCCTTGGTGACAGTGCCACCCAGCTTTACTAGGGGCCTCAAGGAACGGCGCATAGGTGCTTTAAAGATGATTGGCGCTCAACATTTGACTGCAGTGGCGGAACTCTTGGGGAGAATTTCGGAGCAGCATAGTAGATTGCTGGCTTCTCCATAGATGCCGTCCGTATCTCTGCACTACCGTGCCACCGCCAGCGGCATCGGTAACAGCCAGCCCCAAACGATGGCCTAGCTGAAGAGTGCCCAAATCCTAGTCTCTTGCAAGAACCAGGTTTCTTTCATTGAAATGCTCCGACTTACGCTCTATCCTGAAACTAAACACAACATTCTCTGAAGATTGTACATGCCATTCCTCCGCAGCGTTGCATTGCTGCGCGTCACAATAGCGAGTTAGATTGGCCTGTGAAGCATTGAGTAGAAAGCTGAACTGAGTCTACTTGTATCAAGGTGCGCAACACAATCTACTTGTGTCGTCCTGTAATCCCGAACTCCTCTCAAGCAAGAGGCTGGAATCACCTCCGACAAAAAGCTTCATCAAGTGCACCCTTATCAAGCAATTAATTACCTGAATAAGTGCACGTAGATATTATGCACCCGTATAGTCAACCTTCCAGAGGCCAATCTAATCTACTGTGGATTGGTGGCAACTTTTTTTCTTACATACAGGGACGTGGCTTGGCTGAATCTCCCTTTTCTCTCTAGATAGCTTAAAACAATAATTCATGAGCTCAAGAATCATCCCAAATACGGTCCGTGCATTACCCTCTTGTCTCTTAGGGTCCCGCGGGTCCTGAATCTTACTGGCCCGTTTGGTGCAGAAGCCACTCTAGGCTCAAGTGTTGTTTTCCATAGCCCATCATCATAGGAACGTTTCGAACACCGAGAACAAATAATACGCGTGACCGGATACAGGCAAGCACTTAACTCAGGAAGATCGGGAGCTCTAAAAGATGCCCAGAAGCCACTGGTTGCCTTCCTCAATCGTGCAAAATTCCTGGCCTGGAGGCATTAATAGTCCGTACATGATTATAAAAAATGTCTTTTATCAAAATATGTCGTTTTTGCATGGTAAGCATCTGCGCTGTGTTCGCAATGCTCGACCTGTCGCTGGCCAACACCTGTCGCCAGTGTTCAACACTAGCGTTGGCTGCCGAGCGTGTCATGTCTAATCACGTTCAAAGCTCTTTCCTTGCACATGAACTATGCCTGGTTTGCGTTTTGGCTGCGTATACTTCGATTTAAGCTACATCAATTGACCACTTTTGCGCCCCATTATGGTATGCAAAACTGAACTACACACAGCAGAGGCAGGGCCTAAGAAAGACTAAAAAGCGCCTTAGTTATAAAGTAGACAGTTCTGTGTTAGTATAAGGAAATATTGGTAGGTAGAAATAGAAGAAAGGGGCGGCGCTTCCTGTAGCTTGCCAACATAATACCGTTACGTGCAGAATGGGCACTCTGGCTCGAATAACGCTCTGGGGGAGCAGCACATTTATCGCTGCCCAGTGAAGTAAAAATATTGATACTCTCACATGTCCCGATGCTCAAAACAGCATATGAATGTCAAATAAGTGCATGCTTGATTGCGTGTACGCCGCTGCATAGGTTCTGTCTTAACAACGGTATAGGGCCTCGTGCAGGAGACACTTCAACAGTGAGGCTTGTTCAGCATCCACTTCACCAGGACAGAAGCAACCGCCTAACTGCATGTAAGCATAATTAAGCATTACTTCTTCTGTAAGAATACGACTTACATTTGATTTTGTGTTCCAGAAAATCCAGATCGCTGGATGTTCAAAATTTTCCTGTGTCTTTCCCTTGGCACCCTCGACTTGGCAGTTTCCCTGTTGTCGACCTGATGATATTTTCTGACTGATACCGTCAATTAGCCCCCTTATTTCCCCTTTCACAGAATGTTCGATACGTAGCGGGGTCTTTTGGCGCGACATGGCGCAATCACAGCCGTTCGGTCAGCCGGTGTTCAGTACTCCTTCATCTGGTAGACACAGTTTCGGACTTTCTTCAGTCTCTTCAGCGCAAACGGCGGGCAAGGATGTAGTAACTCAGGTATTTAGAAATCGCATGCGCCCGATCTGCTGCCATAAGAAAGCCAGTCGTGCTATTCTTTTTTTAGTGTTGCCAATAGTGGCCATTATTCTAGCTTGTTTCCGTGGACGGTACCGGGGGACTGGGGAAAAAAATGTGCCGCGAAGGCTGGCAAGTGGACCGCCACGGATGGAGGATGACAGGGAACTTTCAGCTATTCTCGACATGTGCCTGGAGATGGAAGAGGAGCGGAGCTTGGTGCCACCCGCAGCACTCCACGTAGCACAGACCGGATTCGCAGAAAGACAAGGCATGCATATCAGACCCCAGTATCAGCATAGCGTGCAGGCAGCCCAGGCAGCAGGGCCTTTGCTCAACGAAGCAGTTTTTCAACCCCACCTCCCTCCATACAGTCAACTCCACCAGGGCACTGGAGCGGGGATTGCACAGGGCCAACAGGGATGGCGTAGTGCTTCCATGGAGGTGTTTAGTGGGCCATATATTGGAAATCCTCAAATGAATTCGCTGGGCACCTCATATTTCCCACCCGCTAGTAATTATCCATATTTCAGCGGGATTGGCAGCTCTGCAGCTCCTTTAGCGGAAGGCGCATTGCCAAATTGGGGCCTTGGGGGGCCGTGGCCTCCAGAAGCGCCTTGCGCGCCTTCTGTTGTAAGTCACGGCGAGTCGGGCAGCACGTTTCATCCAGCATTTGCTAGTGGACCACCGTGTTCATTAGCTGTTGAAGGTCTTCCGGCGCATCAGGAGACCCGTTCCCATCCACATGACCATAGCGGTCCCACCTCCACCGATGGGACTTCTCAGAGAGATACTGCGTCACTAAAGAAGCCTCAGAAAAGGCGTTCTGCCGCAATTCTAAGCCAGCTGGTAATTCCCGGAAAGAGGCGGAGGGGACAGCGCGTTAAGAATAAACAACTTTACAGTGGCGTTACACCTGAGGGCCCCATTGAGTTTGTAGCTTTCGCCCCATCTGAAGCACAGGGCAGTGCAGCCACAATCAGTAAGATTCAGGCTTCCTCTGGCTTCTTGGGCGAACCAAGTTGGTCAAGCACGGAGGCATCCTCAGGAGAATCGGAAAATATTGTGCCAAGTACGGCGCAAACTACAGACGCTCCTTGTAGCGAATCACGATCTCAGCTTACAGAATCCGTCCCCGTCTCCGGTTCTTCCGATGCCTATCATCCCTTTTACAAGCTACCGGTATTGCAGGAGAATGCTATAGTGAGGAAGTTTTGCGTGGGGAACGCGTTTGGACACACCATCTTGCTCGTTCATCCTTCGTCGGCCTTGAGGTTCATGCTGACCTCTTTTGCAAAACTGCGTATTACTGAAAGGGAAGCTAACGGGATTATTATCGAGTCTCAGCGTATTGTGAATCACTTGTTTAATTTCCATAAATCAGCTGTCCCGTGGCGGAGCGCTTCCAAAGCTGTTTTGACTCTAGGACTTCGCTACCTGATGCTGGACTCACTACTCTGTGCAGTTGATCTTTTGGGGCCGGCAATGGATGCGCCACAGTGGTGGCCGAAGCTCATCAAATTGATTCCAACAAAAATCGCTATTGCGGATTTACGACTGCAGCTTAATCGCAGCAAATACTACGCACTACTTGCAGAACGGCTCAGCGCCGCTTCAGAATCGATAAAGAATGGCCAAAGACCTGGAGCAAAGGAAACAGTTGCGCTAAAACGGGACCTCTTTTGCACGGAAATGTCACTTCCACTGTTTAAGAAGCCCCAGTGGGACATATGGCGCTACTATCACAAGCTCTCCTGCGGAGATGCACCAGAACACGCTTGCGGCTGAGCAAGGCCTTTACTCCACATTTCTTGGGACAGTTACGGCAGATCGGGTTCAACCGGGCGACCCCGGAGCCCATGCACAGTCGCATCAATACTGCAGTGGTACAAGGATTTGTACTCTCGCCCCGAGTAGTAAACTGAGTAATTAGTATCAAGTAAGGAGCCTGCATGACATCATCTTTTTGTTCTTGAGGATTGGGTGGGCACATTTAGAGATACGTAAAGTTGTGCAAAGTTGTGCGTGGCCTCGCTGATCAGGGCACAGCAAAGGCGCCACATGCACGTAGTGTTTCTTAAGCTCCGTATGTTTTGTTATTTCCGGGGCGCACGAAGTTTTTTAGCACTTGTGACAGAGTAAACGCTTTGTAACAGACGTCTGTCTACGTATATGGCCCCTACTTAGGCTTTTGTTCACTAGTTTTGCATGCATTTGCAGCAGGCCTGACCTTCCGATCCCATTGGCTGTTGATGTACTTGCTCATGTTGCGTGTTTCTTCAAGTTTAGGTGTCAGTGCCACCTCGGTCGCATTGCCGTTTACCTGTAAGTGAGCTCTCTTAAGCACATCTCGAACGGGTAAATACGGTGCAACGGACAATTTGTAGGGTGCAGTTCCAGAAACTATGCCATTGATCCTCGGGTGAGACGAACACGGGTCCATTGATGAGCGTGATTATTCATGTGTAGTGATTGCCTTCAGGTGCACGTTATACAAAAAATCTTGACAATAAAATTTTTTTTCACATGGACGGGGAATCTTTGAACATTTCAAAAGCATATCACTACTGCCACGAGCTAGGTGGCCACTTGACTTAGGCGAAGGTAGCTATAGTAGTTGAAGTGCTTTGGCTTGTTGTATACTCCCCCGTGGTAAACTAGGTGAAAGAGTTGCGGAGAAGTCACTCGCCTAGGGCCCGCTAGTGAGCCACTTCAGGTATCCAACGATATAGTCGAATATAAAACTGTGCTGCCATTTCCAAGGCAGCAAGAACTCACATCAGTGGCGTGTCTATGGATGTTTGCTGTGGACTAATTCGCGCGCGCTACAGCCCCTTTCCGTCTTCAAGATAACTAAAGGCAGTTCCAGGAACGGAACAGGTTTCTTGGCAATATTAAACATCGACTCAACTAGGAGAATTCCAAACACATTGTGGCCTCATCACACAAAGATATATCTGCAGATGCATGGGCTGAAAGAGAGATCACAGCCATGTGGGCTGCCCGCAGGCGCAAGCCGCGCTAAACAGTGCATTACCACAGTTCCAACTGTCTCCGTTACCGAACGGGTGACCCAATCTATCTCACTCGATGATATCGAAAGCCTCTGTATCGCACAGCACACACCTGCATGCAGATAGGTCGGGCCGGGTGTTTATAAGCGAATCACTGCAAGGAACGTGAGGCAAAGGTAATGCGCCTTCAAGGCGGGAGCATGAAGAAGTCTGAGGTGCGAAGGAAGCCATTCAGAGCCACTCGCTGGCACACAACAGAAGGCGCAGTGGCCCCGTCGCAACTCGCGCATCATGCTGAAGAATACAGCAAAGAGGCAGGGGAACGGTCTGTAATTTGACAGTAGTTGTAGAGGGATCACTTATGGTACCTTCCGGCCACGCGAACTGTGAAGAAAGATTTAACTGTTCAGGCCCGTTTCGCAGTATATTACGTAGACGCATGACTGTGACCGATACATGATTTGCCAGAACTTTAACTTACCGGTGCGGGTGGTGGAAACGTTTCTCGGTAGCTTTGGAAAAAGCGCGGATTCAAATAAGCTGCTCACCGCAGAGAGGCACATGTGTTGCGAACACTCCAAAAAATGGTGCCCATTGATTTTTGAGGTTTACCCTTAAAAGGCAGTGCTAGGCTCCTTTGGTCTTTTGCTATTACGCTTCTCTGTCACTTCTGAGTAGGACCGTGAACGTCAGCCAGAAGTCAGATATACTGTACGATGCCCGTAAACATTGCTATTCTGTTCTACCTTTACTTGCATTCCAAACGGTTGTGCTGCAGTTGACTCAGCACTAAACTCACATCAGAAATTTACAGGCTCCTAAAGTTTATGATATAAAGCTGTATACAAACGCGTTAAGATCACAAAGAGGCAGGACACAGCAGTAGTCTTCATGTGCTTCAATTATCTGTAGGCGATTCTGGTAGTCGAAGACCTTTTACTGGTAACTACGGGGATAAACTCATCTGTGCATTTTGCTCTCCATCAACACATCATGTATTATTCTGACAACCAATTTTTTTTCTTCCGTTGGCTCTCAGGACTAAGAGAGTTGCAAGATAAAATGACCGCTAGCACTGGATTTCAAACGGAACGCGCTGGCGGCATTTTGTATATGTGCTATCGTCATACGGCAGGCTGTGCGTTTAAGCGATAGGCTCATTCGCCTGTTCGCAGTGCTAAGAATCCTGCACATCCCTCTCGTCTAGCTAATAAACAATTTAATGTGAGATCAAGAGCGTACAGGTCTGTTCCTACTTCAAAGAATCGGTGCTTTGCAGTGAATCCCTTCATCTGTTGTAGCTGCATTAATTAAAGTCAGACTGTAGAAGATGAGTGGTGGCTTTAATCGACTACTGTGAAATCTGCCTGTGTGAAATTCATAGAGGAGACGACAACTAAATAAAAGTTGTCACGCTTCTCAATTGCCGTGTAACCCTCTTGGTTACATTAGGACTGAACAAATTATCACAGGGCCTGGACAATGGCTCCGTATCACTGCCTTGAGCAATAAATACGCCATATAATATGTTGCAGACCTGCGCTAGGATATTGTGTGAAAAGTCCAACCTGTCAAGAAGCATCGTATCTTTTATTGCTACATAATCATCCAGGCTCTTGGGAAACCACACATGTCATCCATAAACACGAATATATCTCGACCAAATTTGTCATTAGTAGTGACTTGAAATTTGCATGTCACAACGTTTAAGCCAAATTCTATGTTGCTTCCGTCTCATGTCCGCTGAACATTCGAGATGCTGTTCCGTACTTGTTGTTTGCAGCCGTCCTTATTTTTTGCACAGTTTGTCGCATATATGTCATCTTTGACTATAATGACTGCAGATAATGCCGCAGTATTGGTATTTGTCACTGCATCAATCGGAAGATGAAGTTGGTTCTCCTGTCCCCTTTAGAGTCATTGCGGATTTGTCTTCCCGACCAAAAGCAACACAAGCGTACCATGTCTTGATATGTCTTGCTGCATCACTTCGGAGAACTTGACTCAATTTTGCGTTTACGTGCTCCGCCGGGCGTGTAGAGGGCTTTCCCCTCACTAGGTATACGGGTGGTCTGCAATGCACAACGTCACTGGAGGGCCAAAGAGTCGGTTTCCAGAAATCTTACGCATAAATAATAAGCAATATCTACTAAAAATATAAGCTAGCTTTGTAGAAAATCAAGGCTCTGGAGGACAACCAGAAAAAGCATCCTGGCCCGTACTGGGACTGTCGGCAACAGAGCACATTGGGCAGCAACCCACGCAGTAAGAAGGACCCCCAGATTTCCCCCTCATAGGTTTACTCCCCTGATTTATTTTAGTTATTTGTTAGCAATGAAAAGTGCAGGAAAGGGTTGGCAGTGGAGAAGAATTGCTAATGAACACCGTGACACCACACAGCGCTGCTGGATGCACTGAGCATCACACATTCCTTGCCTGCCCCGCCCCAACCAGTATGCTGATGCTTGTGGCAGCCTTCTGCTGCAAAATGGTCTACCTTAATATTCCTGATATCACATTCTAAAGAGACATTCACTATTTCAACAATTGTGAACGCGTAGCCAAGATGATGAGGTCATAGAGAGGTCCAAGACCCTTCATTCACGGCTTCGTCGGCTGCTTCTTCACGGTCCCTTGCTCCTCCCTGCTGCTCGGAACTGTGAGCAACGCAAGGAGACCTTTACGACCCTTCTCCCTCTGGGGATGAAGACAATACTTTATGTTACTTATATTTGGAGCAATTAGCGTCTTGAGAGTTTGTCGTACTGTGGACAGCCGTCGCACTTTTGGCTAAAGCCCACCAGGTGTCGGCGGACCAACCACCGCGATGCAGTCGCTTCAGTAGTCTCTCAAGGTCATTTTTATATGTCTCAAAAGTGCAAGGTCAAAAAGCTGCACTCTGCCGTGACGCATCTTTACCTTGCAACCAAGCCTGCGCGCTGGTGGGACTCTCGAGGGTTTCGATCTGCAGGGACTTTAAAATTTGGGGAAGGAGCACTAAACTATCTCACTAACGAGGCTAGCTGTAGTGTGAGATCTGGATATATGGGAAGAGCGAGTTAAGGGGAAGGCTGCTGATAACAGTGCAAAGAGGCCAGCCTACGCAACAGTTGCAGGTGATAGGGATACGTGCCTCGTCTTCGTCTCCCGAAGGAGCAACAGGGATTTTCTCGTCGAAAGTTCACTGCACATAATCTGCCGGGATTTTTTGGGGACTCCACCGTTTCCGGTGATACCAGGCTTTGACTTCAAATGTGAAGGCGTACGTGGGGCATCGCTGCGAGCCGTTTGCCTTATCACTTCAAAGCTTGACGACGTGGTGTGAAGCGGTGACTCAGGGGCATCTGTTATCTTAACAGCTGCAACAAGTTTAACTCTGCTTGAAGAGGACGCCTGCTTGAAGTACAAAAACCTGTCAAAATTGCGTGAGTGTGAGTGTTTTTTAGAGTAGTGAGCGTCCTCCGAAACTGGGTGCTTTTTCGTGTTACTCGTTCTGAGTACTAGTCTCTTGATATTAAAACCGTCTTGACAGCCCTGGCTCTTGCGAGTTTCGTTCGACGGGGAGCACAGTCCTGTTTCTTCGTTCAAATGTCATCCGGATGGTATCCAGCTGTCTTCGAGCTTAGCAGCCACACAACAGCGGAGAAGAAGCTATATAAAAAGCGCTGGCAGCCCACCCATGCATTTCTGGGTCGAAAATTTATTGCCCTTTTCTCCGTATTGGCAGTTGTGGCTATCATTAACTGCCTCCGCACTTTTAGAGGCCGGACTGATCGAGGGAATGCCCCGCGACAATTAATGGGAGGGCTGGATGATGGATATGATGATCCCGAGCTGGCCGAAATACTTGACCTCTGCTTGGAGATGGAGGGGGACGAAGAAGCCGCATTCCCATTGCCAGCACGCCTGATTCATCCAGATTTGGCAGCAAATCAACCATTTCAGTCGGAGCTTCAGCAGGACCAGCATCTGCAGGAGGGCCAGACAAGCGCGCCTTTTTCTGCAATGGAGCAACCTTGGAGTCCAACGGATTCATTTTCAGCTCAAACTGATTTGGATTCTTGGAATGAAGGAGAACACAGCCTTCTACAGAGTTTAGTTGCTGCCGGGGAGCCGCCGGATGACTCTCCAGCGAGATGGCCGCCTCCATACTCGTTGACTCATCCCACGCGCGCTGAGATTACTAGCGGCTCGTATTCCTCGGGCACAGTTGAAAATGAAGTGCCTGTGGCATATGGTACTACGAGCATGCCATCATCTTATCAGGGCTTTCAGGAACTGAGCCCTTGCGCACAGCCCTATGCGCATTTGCACCCTCGCGCGGTCCAAGCTTCCGCACTGTCGAGGTCAGAACAATGGGGAGGTCCTTCGTATCAGCATCAAATGTTCCACGAAATTCAAACTACCTCGGGTCACGTACATGGCGCCCCTCCCTTGGGGACCCAGCCACGCAGAAGGTGGCTCGGGGGGCTTGGCAGTAACCATTCTGACCCTGCAGTCAGTCGAAAGAGGACGATTGACCAGGTTACACAAGATATCGGGGGAGCACTAGACGCTGGATATGGAAGGCCAAATTTGAAGCAGATGCGTTTCTCTCAGAGAGGAGCTCTGCTGCATAAAACATCAGGAGCCGATAGAAAGCAAACCTCTGACGCTCTTGAGAGAGCACTTCAATCAGTACCGTTGGTTTGGGCTCCCCCCGAGATAGACTTGGCTACTGTTGAAACGGAGTCAAGCCAAGACGAGGTGGGCGCTCTACTTTCGTTCCCTTCGTCAAGCGCAAACGAGGGATTGAGCGGCTCGGCATCGATCCGTGTACGAGAGTTTCAGTTGTACGACTCATCAGCTGACGATTATTCTTTACGGCCATGCCTGGTGCATAGTGATTGCTCTTCAAGGAAAGAGACATCTGCAATGCCAGCTCCACAACCAGCGCCTGCTTTCGACACGCCGGTTGCCGAGCCTCTTCAAAGTCCATCATTGTCAACCGCGACTCAATCCACAAACAATTCTGAAAACAGGGCACCTTCTGTGGAGATAGTTCCAGAAGAATCCGGCTCGGATCCTGAGCAAGAACTCGTTGATCACATCTTTTACAGATTCCCATCATTGGGTAAGCATGTGAAACCAAGAAAATTTTCCCTGTCTAGGGCTCAAGAATTAAAAAATACCAAAACGTGTTTCAGCACTTTAGCTTACATGCGCTCATTCCTTCAAAAGCCACATCTGGATTCGTGGGAGGCTGACACTGTAGTCACCATGTCCGAACGACTTGTGGCCCACTTGATTTACTACCATAACACACCTCTGACAACGTTGACTCCGTCAGAGGCAGTCGCAATTTTGGGGCGTCGGTTTCTGATATTAGATGCGCTCCTATGTGCAATAAAGGCTTTGGGGCCGGCAATGGATGCACCTCAGTGGTGGCCACAAGTCATGCCCGCGGTTCCAGGATTTTGGGAGTGCAAAAAACGTCACTTTTGCGTGCTGCGCAGCAAAAGTTACGTGCTGCTTGCACACCGACTGAGTGCCGCGGTAGAAACTTTAAAAAAAGGCGATCGGCTTGGGGTAAAGGAAACTATTGAGCTCAAGCAAGAGCTGTTTTGCAAGGAATCGTCCATCCCGGATTTCAAAAAGCCCCACTGGGATCCCTGGCGAACTTTTGAAGAAGATACTTGAAGCTGCGCATAGGCATTGCGTTGATACTGGCAGCAGCCACATCACCATGAATGGAGCGGGCACTGCTTCCCTATTCCGCGTGTGCGACTGCAGAGCTCTTGTGAGCGAACAACATCGTGGCGAATACGAGTTGTTTAGCTCTTCACTGTTTGTGAAGGCCTGAGACTTCGTCTGCAAGCGGGTACGTTCCGTCTGCGGACCGTGAGCCTTTATTTGCTGCACCTAGAAGTATTCTAAGGCAAAAAAATAGGGCCGGTTAAGGGACGGCCATGGTAAAGGCCGCACTTGTATACCTTTTCCCAACAGCCGCGTACTCTGCTATGTTACAGTTGCGCGAGTCGTTTCTGCAAGGGCCCGTGAGAGAGTTCTCTTGATGACAAAGAAAAATTATTTGATGCAATTGTTCAATGACAGTGCACTCTGGGTAGATCTGTATCTTTGTGGTGCAATATTGTCATTCCGGCGTTATTGCCTCCCCGCTGCAATGCTCAGACGGATAATGGAGCCGATAATGGAGTCGTCTCAGCCCATTGCTTAATACACATATGGCATCGATTTACGAAGCCGCAGCCAATTAGGTTGCTTCCTGCACTGCACCATATGTTTATACTGTGACTGGGACCGGTAGGCGAAGCTTCGGCCAGATGAGACAATGAGACAGTGTTTCCTAGTGAGTGCACTGTCTCACATGAAGTGACTAATGTTGCATTATTTGTAGTTTTAATGCTTCAAGAGACTGCTTTATGATTTTTATACACAAGGACTGAGAAGGCGAACTAAATTTGTGTTGCGATGGAGACACCAACATGCAGCAGATATCGTGGGAGCCAGAGCCGTGCTGCATTTTTAATGCGCTTCTCCACATAGCTGATCTAGTCACGCCAGCAAAGTACAAGCTTCTGAGCGAGGAGATGCAAGTGCTTGTAGCTTGATCATGGGTGCTGTGTCGCGAGTGCGCGGTTTCTGGTGCTTTCTGAAGTTGTCTAGTAGAGTCGAAGACGAACCAACGCATCCGAGAAAATAAATGTGTTTGAATCATTAGGTCATTTAGCCGTAGCTAGGAAACCATTTTAGAAGGCAGCATAGCCAAACAAAATTAAGTGCGCCGGAACTGCGCGCAGCGTGACTGCGAGTCCGTAGACTAGAACATGGGCCTGGTCGTTTGTGTTTGGGCTCCGGTTTTTGCGTGCGGGCGAGTTGACGTATTTGCGTCTCCTGTGAAATCATCCCACCGTGTTGCTTGTAGTACTGGCACTAGCTTCTAGATTAAAGGCTTTCGAGAGTCCTGCCGCTCCCAGGACATTGCATTCATGCCGTTGCCGGACACTAGCATGCAGGCCGTTGACGCACTGCGTTGGACCTGCGAATCAAGACCTATGGCAATTTTGCGCTCATGCCCCGGTAGGCAATCTTCTTCACAAATTGACATGGTGCTCAAGTCCATCACTGGCATGCAGTGCACGAGGCGTGGCCCGATCCCTCGCAGCAAAGAGACTTGCGTATTATGAGCTATTGCTCATATGGCTATTCTGTATGAGCAACAGCACTTGTCGGACCGAAGGTCAACTCCTGTCTCCGGTCTTCGACAAAACTCAAGAGGACTACACATATGTTGACGCACACCAACCGATCGTGTGAGCTGTAGTTTGAACAGTAGGTCTACAGGCAGAAGAAACGTCTAGCACAGAATGATCATCCACATGGAGGGGGAGGGATATGCAACGACGTCGCTAGGGACACGTAATGAACAACGGCCAATGGAGTCTAAAACGCAGCGTTTGCTTCAAAAACACAAACAGCCGCCAAACAGAGGTCTTAAGCGCCTTATCCGCAAATCGCTGTGCGCTTATAGTGCTCATTTCACAGCGAGCATGAAAAAAAGCTCCCGCGGGCCTCGTAGGCTAAAAAGCACGCTACCACAAATGGGAAACGCCATGTATGCGGCTCCTTAACAATGCCCAAAGCCAGCAACGCTACACGCGACTTGCCTTCCATGTGGGGTAAGTTCAATCGAAACGAAACAGCGTCGGGAACCTAAAGTTCACACAGTGCATCTTTTTAGCTGCTTCCAGTTGCTCAGGCCAACACAGCTGAGAAGCGTACGCCATATTTACGATTAATCAGATCATGCCTGTCTGCATGAGCTCCGGAGTCGCTTAAGTGCAAGCGCCCAACTTCAGTGCTTTCGGAGTTCAATGAAATAAAAAATGTTGCTCAGCGGCCGAGAGCCTCCGGCAAAGTCTCAAAGAAGTTTCTGTCATCCATGCGCCATATTTCCCACTGGGGCTTCTTGAAAGTCCGAAGAGACATTTCGCTGCAAAAAAGCTCGCGCTTTAATTCAACAGTGTCCTTTGGTCCCGGTCGAACGCCTCTCTTCAGCGATTCCACCGCTGCGCTCAGTCGTAGTGAAAGCCCTGCGTAATACCTGCTGCATCTGAGTTGCAACCGTAGGTTTTCAACAGCCACGTCTGTTGGGATTTGTTTTACGAGCCTATGCCACCACTGGGATGCACGCATTGCCGGGCCCATAATATGAACCACACAGACAAGCATATCCAGCATAAGGTACCGAAGCCCCAAAGTTAGTAAAATTTTGGAAGCGGTTAGGGTGGTAAGAGTGCTTCGGTGAAGGTAGTATAAATGACAAACAATCCGCTCACTCATGAGAATAAGTTCGTTTGCATCATCTTGATTGAGCTCCTTTTTGATTAAAAGTGAGCGCATGAATGCTAAAAGCACAGAAATTTGCGGAAGCAGGTTGGATCGTTTAAATGCATTGTCCACAGAGAAGGCCATTAGTCTAATACCTGGCTTCAATCTTGGCAGCCTATAAAATAAATGCTCAGTGACGGGCCTCCTAAAATAGAGAGGTCGTGGAAAAATGGGCCTTTCAGGAGCCAGCTTGCCGACCTCAACGCCCACAGTTTGCCTTGCAGGTTTCAAACTGGGAATTAACAACTGCGCCCCAGCATTTGCGGCTGAGATGGGCTGCTGTTGCGAAAAAATGGCTGCTTGGACTTCTGAGGGATCATAAGGCGCAGCAGCACTGGTTTGAAGTTTTATCGTCCCTGCATTTTGCTCCCTTTGAGGGAATGGAGGTCCGTGTGGGATCCTGGCGCCAAAAGTCGGAGGTTGACTCTTGTGTGACATAGCCGCACAATGAAATGGCATGTGCTGATGGCCTGCGCCAGGCTGATTTCTTGGAAACATATAGGGTTGCTTTGTTGTCAACATTCCCTCGGCGATTCCTGAGTTTGTCGAAACATCAGGCTGCGTCAAAGTGGAATACACACGTGGAAAGGTCCCTGAGGAAGTATCAGGTGTAGGATGACCCTCAAGTGACAAGGCGGTACTGGACCAGCCAGTTGTAGAGGATTTACACCCACTTTCCCCCATAGGATGTAAAGACGCTCCATTGCTCTGCAGCGTCGACGAATACGAGGGCAATGCTTCATCAGAAAGAGTATCTTTTTTCTCCTGAGAGGTAGAGACCCATTCCTTGAGACGCTGCTCTGTTGATCCACAAGGCCACTCCGGGCGGTGAGTAGGACCAGGAGACGGAGAAGGAGGAACCTCCACCCAAAATGAAAGGGTATTTGTCTGACTTCTTTGCTCGCGTTGCTCGTGCTGGGAACTTAAATAAATTCCTTCACGAAATAGTAACTTTTCTTGTGGTTGGAATGCTGGAAATGGCAGCAAGTGACCTCTCTCCTGCTCCATGTCCAGGCACATCTCTAGAATTTCCGACAGCTCGGGGTCTTCTTCTGCCTTAGGCAGCTTATCCCCTAGTTGTCGCTGTGTGCTTCCCACTTTTGTCGGCCTGTGAAAAATGCGGAAGCAGGCGAGTGTGATTGCCACAACTGCCAGAAGGGAGAAGATAACGGGCCATTTACTCTGAGCACGTGGATGAAATGTAGAGCTTCTGATTTTAGATGCTTGAGGAGCCGATTCCTCGCTCGTTATATGCTGGAAAGTATTTGATAAGCCGTATAAAGAGTGTCTACTAGAAGGAGCGGAAATGACCGGTGGATCTAGCGCCCGAGCCATGTTCCCTCAGCCAACACTACGTTCTGCTCACTTCGCTGTTTCCATATTTTTTGGAAATGAAAGTTGAGGAGAAAATGATACAATGTGAAATCGCTGCAACCGGTCGACATGTTCGCCACTGGCGGTGCAGTCGAGTGTAGAGTAGCTCAGAATTGACACGCCCATCAACAAGCAACGTGTCCGTGGTGCTCAGCATTTTCATAACTATAAAGGCTCAGTTAGCTCAAATCTTATACCAGAGAGATGAATAAACAAGCCACATTATTCCTGTAAGATGAGCGACAAAAGGTGCCTTTAGCAGGGCCATCAGCTTGCATGAGACTTGTTCCAAATGCAAGCTGGGTATTCTCATAGTATTGCGCGACATCCTATTTGTCACTTTTGGTGAGTTATTCTGAACTTCTCTTGTAGGCATACCACTGCGGGTTCAGATTTTCTTCCGAGCCGTTGTAGCATTCTCAGTGGCTCTTCACTGCCTTTCCCGGCTAATAGGCCTATAACGTCTGTCTTATTTGAATGTTTAAAATGGGTGCTTGCTGTTAACTGAATTGGCAGTTGTAGGAACAGCGTTTCTTTGGGCTGCAGCCTGTTGGTCTTCGTGGGGTAATCCGATCTCTCCTAACAAGCTGGAGAGATGCCCTCACTGAACCAATGGGGAAATTACGTGTTTGAAATCATATCTAAATAGTACCTCATACCAAAAATTTAAGAATAGACAAATTAAGTTTATTGTACCATGGTCGCCTGATAAACTGTCCAAGCACCCAGATCGTGAATCTCGAACAGCCCATCAACCTACTGCGGGCGTTCGTGCAAGATCCCCTCTCCACGATTTTCCTCCTGCTTATTTTACTTTGATGCCGTTGAGCACGGTCGTCCCGAGCTGACCTTGTCGCAACTTCTCCAACGAAGAAGGTCCACGAGTCAGGGCTGAATCGAGGCGTGGTGCTCCTTAGTTGGAGGGTCCCCAAGCGGGTGGAGCGATAACGCACTGTCGACCCCATTTGTGCTACAATTATAGTGTTGGATCATAGTTCTAATGTGTCTGCGAAACCTAGTGCTCAAAGCCCACAAAATCCCACGAGGGGAATTTCTGCGCTTTGCGCGGGCTGAAGCCTGTGCACATGAGGTTGCGTGAGCTTTACACACCCAGATGGAGGCATTTCCAGTATCCAAACTACTGTGAATTCTTCAGCTTTTCTTGCGTGTCATTTTATTTCATTAGCCCGAATAAAGCCGTCCGTGGATCCGATAGGCATTGGTTGTGGGCCTGTGACATTGCAGCACAGTTCTCAACACTGCGCTATTACTTCACAGTCCATAAAATAACGTTTCCCCAAGAAATCGTCGCTGTTTGTGCAATACCTCCGGTCGCACTGCGTAAAAGCCGCCCACTATTTTGAGAGTATAGAATAGACCGACGTGGGGTCGCACAGGACGCTGAGGAAATTCGCCGTTATGGCAAAGTCCCTCGTGAACAGGCAGTAATAAATATTGGCTGCCACGAACTGTCACACCCTTTAAGCAATATTTGGGCTGATGAAAATTTCCGCTTGGCGTTGGCTTTGCCGTAGGAAGTTTCATGTCCGGCGCCACCGCGACACCCTCCAAACATCTACCAGCGAGAACAAACCTCAAGGAATGCTGCAAATTCTTGCATAATGTCCTTTAGGACGGCTGTATCATCTAGAAACATAATAGTTAACACTAGCACCAGCCCCAAGAAGAAGGCGCGCCATTAGCGTTTGTCACTGGAGCTGAGGAGGCACGCGGTAATCACTCACACACCGCTACCAGGAGAATGAATGCAAAGGACGTGGGAGGGGTTGACTTCGCTGCCGCATGCCAGCAAACCCTTAGCCTCTAAAGAAGAGAAAAGAAACGATTGTCTTTTACGGCGCCGTTTGCGTGGTGAGTACGGCTCGAAGGGCAGTGACGCGCTGGCCTCACAATTATTACAGAGTAGTCAGCGCAAAACCTAGGCTTTTCACAAGACATTCAGATGAGCACTGTGGGTGACGCTCTTTGCCGTAATTCCTGGCCTCACACCCTCGTTGACGATTTCTCCTTGTATGTCTCGCCTAACCCTGGGCATTTGGCGTAACTGAGCGATCTTTGACGAATAAGCGCCTCAGACACTGATGTTGCTAGATTAATTTTAACAGGGGTCTGCCTCCCGGATTGTTGGCGCGGGCTTAGATAAAGTTTACAATCTCTCGCGCAACGCACTATTATGCGTGAAGTCTCTCCTGCTATCTACGCAGCATCCACGCCTGTAAATCTGTTATAGAAAAATGGGGAGTGTTTCCTTCTAAGTTCTTCAGGTATATGCCCTCCTTACCCACTGCTGGGTGACAATGGAGGAGTGAATTAAATAATAGGAAGGAGTTTGCGGGAACCCAGTTGCCATTGAGCTACGCAAGCCGCACAACGACGTCTTGAACTGCAAACATGGGCAGTGGGGCTTCTAATTGGATGAGAGTGCCGGGAAGTACAGCTTCCAGCATCTACTGAACGTTCTCAACTTGACGCAGCTTTGCACAAGGTTAAACTCACGACGCTTAAGCTTGCGGCTAGTTATTGCTTGTATTCGCATAATGTTTTGACATCCGCTGACCTTTTGTACGATGTAAAATTTGTGGGGTGAGCAGAGCACATCGCGTCTCGCGGCAGCACGACCCTCGGTCGGTCGTTCGATCTACCGGTCACTTCCGCTCCTTCGTCCAGTGGAGCAACCTTGGGTACTCCATCGACTCCAAGCGATCAAACAACAGAAAAGGAGCTTTTACCCAAGCGTGTTGCGAATTGCCGACAACCACCAGGCGCCTCGCTGCATGAATCAAGACCTGCTCTCGTGCCTGTAATGATAGTTGTGGCGATTACGCTAGGCTGTTTTCATTTCATCTGCTCATGGACGTGAAGCAAATATAACACGACAACTCGGAAGACTGCCCCCGGCAGGGTTTGACCACAACCTCTCAGTGATACTCGGTATGTGCTTCGACATAGAAGAGATAAGAAGGCTTGAATTTCTGCGCTGCCGCACCCCTACCGCGAGCAGAAGTGTTTGCACTTTAACCATCTAATTCCACTGTGGAGTATATATGGAAGGCCTTCGAGCTAGCCAGATAAGGATGACTCCTGCAGAAGAGTTTGTTTTGCCAGCTGTCTCTGCAGTTCTCATCAGCCTCATCAGGGCACTCAAGAAGGAGTGCACGGCCCATAGTGCATTTGGGCCGATTGACTATTGTTCATACCAGCGAGTTCGTGAATCTTCATTGAACCCCAACACGTTTCTGTCCTCTGGGGCCAATACCGCTACCATTCAGAAACCTTTGCCCAGTCCTTCTCCATTTCCCTCGGTCGGCAGCATATCAGCATGAATTCAATTAATGAAAAGGCGAATCGTTCCTTGTAGCCCTGTGCTTTTTCGTTTTCAAGTGTAGCTGAGCCTGCTCAAGTCACAACCGCAGCAAACCCATTAGATCTTAAGACCTTAAGGTAGTCGGCAGCATCTATTTTTTCCTGCAATTCAGCTCAGCACAAGCTAGAATTATCTCGCCTCATTCCAGAGGGAGGGGAAGATAGAGCAGTTTGGCAGGGGAAGTTCGCCCAGTCCACCGAGTTCAGACAAACAGCAACGGGTTCGACATTCCTGAAGTGAGCTGCCCTTTTGTGTCCAGTTTTGCCGTCGCATTTAAAGTGAAAAAGCCTGAGACTGTTTTGATGTGGGATGCAGCAGCCGCGTGGCCCGTCCGGCCAGCTGGGATTTCCTAGCTTGTCAGACACAGTGGAGGCGAGTGCTTTTCCTTCCATCATGCTGTCATCAAAAGCGCTTCCTTCACAAACACGAACTTGTCCTTGGCAACCAAAAACGCCTCCTTCCCTAGCAAAAGCGCCTCTTTCGAAGTAGAAACTACTACAGTCCATAAATTTGAACCGTGCCCTCTACAAATTCTCTAGTAAGGTGAGCACCAATGTAAGAGGAGCAGACCGAATCGTCATTGCACATGCTATGCTATATGTTTTTTGTGAAACGAGAGCCACTCAATCAGCTGACCATTTTGGATGCTGCTGTGGCTTTGGGCCATTGGTTTTTCACGCTGGATGCATTGCTGTGCGCAATTATTCTATTGGGGCCGACAATGAATGCACCTAATTGGCGGTCTAGGCTTTTTGAGTTGATTGCAACGGAGGTGTCATACGCAGACCTTGAATCATCATTCAGGTGAACAAGAGAATGAGAAATTCTTGCAGTGCCACTCAGCAAGGCAACTGAGCCACTTGCGAAGGGCGTCTTTCGTCTTGTAGCGTCAGACGTGGTTTTCTGCGAAGCAGCAGTCGCTTCAGTTTTACAGACTCTTCGATAATTCGTGAAGCTGCACTGATAGCCCTGGTGAAAAATCTAGAATTTTTCTATATGCCCGTTAAGTAATCTGGCTGCGTGGAAGCAGTTGCACGTCAACGAATAGCGCTCCGGTGAAGTGTTCAACCCTTAACTCCTCTCGTAAACCAAGACAGCAAGGGGCGCATTCGTTCTTACAATCTGCAAATGGGCACCTGCCCCCCGCAGCAGCAAGCGCCTTGGTAAGGTTTAGCTGCAGGATGTCGTGCTAATGCAGAGCTCCGCATTAGTCGCGTACGGTGATTTTGTTCCCCATTAAGCAAGTTCATGAACAGTGAGAAAAGTACAATCCATCTAAACTGTTCTGAGTGGATCAATTGATGAAACACCACCTACTGGTGTGGCTGTTTTGCTGGCCGACAATGTTGATTAGGATAGTGTTTCCCTGAAATGTTGTATTTTTCATGTGACCATTTTTAATACACTGCTGTCACTACGTACGTCTTGACTCTGACATTTCAAAGCGCAGGTTCGAGGTATGCATGTTGTGCTTCATTACAATACTTTCATAGTGATATTAAAGAATTGGCAGAATTTTTCTATCATACGCAATGATGCATGCCATGGGAACATATTTCTACGCGTCCTTACAGGA